CCAACCCAGAGTCTGTCTGCATGGTCAAAGGCAGCAGAATCCAAAGGGAAGTTGGAACTGCAGTCGTGCAGTTTCCTAGCACAGCTGAGTAACAGCTACTAAGAAACAAAACCCTTTTCTGTTAGTGTAGTGCAGTAACTGAGACGGGACACTTTGTAAAGAAAAGAGGTTTATTTATCTCATGGAAAATCCAAGATTGGGTTCTGTAGAGAGAAACCCCTGGGCTGTATCACACGATGATCAGTCATTTGTGAGAGGGACAGACACTGTGGAGGCAGGAAGCCAGAGATCAAGGAGAGGACAAGCTCTGTCTTCTGTAGCAACTTTTCTTCAGGAGCTAGCTGGGGTCCTGCAAGAACTCCTTTATGGCTTTTGAGTGCCATGGCCCAAGGATCTAATCACCTCCCACTAGGACATGCCTCTTAAGGCTCTCAACACCTCTACACTGCCATATTGAGGGCCAAGCCACCTGCATGAACCCTTAGAGACCCATTCAAGCCATGTCCAAAGGGCGGCATTCACTATTAGCTGAGACATTCCTCATTTCTTTTTACACTTGGCAAACTTTCTTTTTCTTTTCCAGACAGGGCTCACTAGACCAGGCTAGCCTGGAATGCACAGAGATCCTCCTGCTTCTTTCTGCCTTCTGAGTGCTGAGATTAAAGGTGTTGTACCACCGTGCCCAGCCTACACTTGGCAAACTTAATTAGATACAAGTAAGAAAACATTGTGATTTTTTTTTGGGGGGGTGACATTTGGGAATATTCTCTGCAGCCCTCCCAAGCTGGGTTGGTTGGGGTGGCGAGTTGTTTACTAGGGTGTGACAGATTGGAGTGTTATATGGAAGAGGCTTTAAAATCTATAGCAACTGGTCAGCGTTGAGTTAGCTTCCGAAGGGGAGTCCTGTTGCTTCAACTTTTGTTTAAAGGGGGTGAAGAATCTTGCTCGGAAACTTTGGGTGGCTCTTCTCTTCTGCAGAGGTGCAGTCTTTTATTTACCAGGGAGGAAGTACTGTCACAAGTGCTCCTGTGGCCATGAGGTAGATGGTGTTGAGAACTTGTCAGGTCCCTTGGTTGTGACAGGCTGTCGACAGACAGCAAGTGGGTAGTCTGTTTTTGAAGCTTCACTACCCCGGCACTTTGCTGCCTGTGGGTGGTGCCTGACACTGACTCTGGAAGCATATGAGCAGAAACTTGCCTGGCTCATGGGGAGATGGTTATTTCTCTTCCTCAGTGACTTGATCAAGGCTTCTCTGCATGAGGAGCTAGAGCCCCAGTTCTTAGGAAGCTAGCGAGCGAGCTTTCATTGAAATGCCAGACACGATTCCAATGCTGTTGGTGAGCCAACTGTTACTTTCCAAGAAGCTTGCTCAGCCTAATCCTGAGAAGTCAAAGTGTATCTGTGCTCCTGTGTATTCTTTAATCATTCCCATTGCATATTTGGGAGGAAGACCTGGAAACAGCTAAGCTGGACTGTCCGAATAAAGGAGTGTTTTGGTCACAGCTGCTCATTCAGTAAAGCGCTCACGGGGCTGGCTGTGTAGGGCAGGTGGTTTCCTGGAAGCCCCTCCTCAGCTGGTTGACTGAGGCCCTCCCTTTCCTTTCCTGGGAAGTCTGAGAAGGAAAGAAGGGCATTTACTTCTCCTCCTGTCCTCCAGGATGGAAAATGGATGGGTGGCGGGATTATGTGCTGCTGAGATTTATGGATTGACTTAGTTGAAATGCTGAGTACTACTCAGTGTTTATTGCTAGGTGCTTGTGTGCAGTTCTCAGTGGAGGGGTGTCCTGGTTGGTCTTGTCATTATTAAAGGTGGCTTGTGGCTCTTAGCACTAGTTGAAATTTCAAGTTTTTTGGGAAGTTCTGAACAGTGTTTCCAAAAGTTTGCTGCAAGGCATAGTTGTGTATGTTTACAGTAAGCTCTCCTTCAGGGAGCTGAGGCAGAAGGATTATAAATTCAGGGTTAGCCTAGGCTACATAACATAGTGAGACTCTTTCAAAATCCACCACCAGCTAGGCGTGGTGGCGTACTCCTTTAATCTGAACATTTGGGAGGCAGAGGCAGGCGATTCTCAGTTCGAGACCAGCCTGGTCTACAGAGTGAGCTCCAGGACAGCCAGGGCTACACAGAGAGACTCTTGTTTTGTAAAACAAACAAACAACAGCCAAACCAAAAAAACTCTACCACCATTAGAGAACTTGGTTGTGACCCACATTTTTCCCTATTACTTATTCATGCCTGGAAAACGTTACTAGCAGGTTGGGCTCTTGGATTCTCTGGGAGGCCTCTTCAGTACTGTCAAGTTGAGGCTCCTGGATACACTATGACCTCTGGCTTTTCTTTCAAGGTCTTAGCCATTGATGACAGTACCTACCTGTGAGGTCTCTTAAAACATCTGCCTTAGAAATGTGAGCTAATGATTATTTACCTTTCCTATTTTGTTTTTGCTTTGTTTTTTAAAGACAGAGTTTCCCTCTGTAGCCCTGGCTGTCCTAGAACTTGCTCTATAGACCAGGCTGGCCTCGAACTCAGAAATTTGCCTGCCTCTGCCTCCTGAGTGTTCTGGCTGGGATATCACCACACCTGGCTCTCCCTTTTTTTTTTTTTTTTTTTTAAGGATTACTTTACCCATAATAAAATCCACCCCTTTTAGTGTCTGCTTCTGTACAATTACATGGACTCATGGGTATGCAATTACTGTAGTTAGGATCCCAGACAGGGCTATGGAGACAGTTCATTTGTAATGCGCTTGCTGGTAAGCGTGAGGACCTCAGTTGGCTCTCCAGCAACCATAGCTTGTTATCCCAGCTTGGGTAGGTGGAGACAGGGAGTGACCTGGGGCTTGCTCCCTAGCCAGCTCAGCTTCATTAATGAGCAATGAGCTCCAGGCCAATGAGAGACACAATGGCACAAACCAGGGTGGCGAGCTGCTCAAGAACAGTGCCGAGGTTGCTGTTTGTCCATGACGTGCATGTGCCCACATTTATGCCTGCATACTGACTTTTTGGTACAGTAGCTTCAGGATATAACGTTAAATGGAATTTAAGCTCAGTCATAGTGAGGGGTATTCATAGACCTTTTTAACTACATCTGCTGTGAAAGCATGCTGCATGTAGCGTTTCTGGCTAGTCCCACACTCTAAACAAGAAAAGCATCAGTCTGGTACACAGTGTAACTTAATCTAGGGAAGCAGATACTAGCAAAGCTGAAATGTTTAGAAATCTTCCAGGGAGATTTTGAGTTTAAAATGTCTCAGATTCAAATACTTTATAAAACACAAGTCATGAGAGAGTAGTTAGTTCTCCACTCTTCCTACCCCAAGAAAAGAAAGATTGACTATCACACCCAATGAAAGCTAAATGAATGTGAAGGACCCCTAGTTAATTTATAGGATTGCTTCTTTGTGTCACTTTAGTATTGTCTGTTTAGAAAAAAAACGGAACTGTCTTCCTCAAACAAATGTGATGTTAAAGTTGCTGAAATAATGGCCAATTATTCTGCATCTGCTGGGAACATAATACCCAGTCTGTGTGTTTGGGCCTTGTTCAGTACGACAAAGTTGTGAGGGTGGTGTGTGGTGATGATGTGATGGGGTTGTGAGGTTGTGAGGGTGGTGTGTGGTGGTGATGTGATGAGGTTGTGAGGGCGGTGTGTGGTGGTGATGTGATGGGGTTGTGAGGGTGGTGTGTGGTGGTGATGTGATGGGTTGTGAGGGTGGTGTGTGGTGGTGATGTGATGGGTTGTGAGGGTGGTGTGTGGTGGTGATGTGATGTGATGGGTTGTGAGGGTGGTGTGTGGTGGTGATGTGATGGGTTGTGAGGGTGGTGTGTGGTGGTGATGTGATGGGTTGTGAGGGCGGTGTGTGGTGGTGATGTGATGGGGTTGTGAGGCTGTGAGGGCGGTGTGTGGTGGTGATGTGATGGGTTGTGAGGGTGGTGTGTGGTGGTGATGTGATGAGGTTGTGAGGGTGGTGTGTGGTGGTGATGTGATGAGGTTGTGAGGCTGTGAGGGCGGTGTGTGGTGGTGATGTGATGAGGTTGTGAGGTTGTGAGGGCGGTGTGTGGTGGTGATGTGATGAGGTTGTGAGGGTGGTGTGTGGTGGTGATGTGATGAGGTTGTGAGGGTGGTGTGTGGTGGTGATGTGATGAGGTTGTGAGGGCGGTGTGTGGTGGTGATGTGATGAGGTTGTGAGGGCGGTGTGTGGTGGTGATGTGATGAGGTTGTGAGGGCGGTGTGTGGTGGTGATGTGATGGGTTGTGAGGGTGGTGTGTGGTGGTGATGTGATGAGGTTGTGAGGGCGGTGTGTGGTGGTGATGTGATGGGGTTGTGAGGTTGTGAGGGCGGTGTGTGGTGGTGATGTGATGAGGTTGTGAGGTTGTGAGGGTGGTGTGTGGTGGTGATGTGATGGGTTGTGAGGGCGGTGTGTGGTGGTGATGTGATGGGTTGTGAGGGCGGTGTGTGGTGGTGATGTGATGAGGTTGTGAGGGCGGTGTGTGGTGGTGATGTAATGAGGTTGTGAGGTTGTGAGGGCGGTGTGTGGTGGTGATGTGATGAGGTTGTGAGGGTGGGGTGTGGTGGTGATGTGATGAGGTTGTGAGGGCGGTGTGTGGTGGTGATGTGATGAGGTTGTGAGGGCGGTGTGTGGTGGTGATGTGATGGGTTGTGAGGCTGTGATGGGGTTGTGAGGGTGGTGTGTGGTGGTGATGTGATGGGTTGTGAGGTTGTGAGGGTGGTGATGTGATGGGTTGTGAGGGTGGTGTGTGGTGGTGATGTGATGGGTTGTGAGGGTGGTGTGTGGTGGTGATGTGATGGGGTTGTGAGGGCGGTGTGTGGTGGTGATGTGATGGGTTGTGAGGCTGTGATGGGTTGTGAGGGTGGTGTGTGGTGGTGATGTGATGGGGTTGTGAGGGTGGTGTGTGGTGACGTTGCCTTAAGTCCTGCTGTCATTCATGGAATGAGTCATGTGTGACCTCTCCCTCCTTTCCCTTCCCCTCGACTACAGAGAGGTACAGAAAGCAGTCAACACTGCCCAAGGGTTGTTTCAGAGATGGACGGAGCTCCTGCAGGGCCCCTCTGCAGCAACAAGGGAAGAAATCGACTGGACCACCAACGAGCTGAGGAACAACCTCCGAAGCATTGAGTGGGATCTGGAGGACCTGGATGAGACCATCAATATCCTTCCTTCTGGTGGAGGGTGGAGGGCCTCGGCAAACGGAGGCAAGAGGGCTGTTCTGTCCAGACCTTGAGCCGTAGATGAAAGGTTTGCTTCTGTAGTGATTGATCTGGCTCTTGTTTGTACATGACATTTGAAGTCTGCCCAGTGAACTCAGGTAGGACAGCCTTGAGCTTCTGTGGATGGTGAACCCTGCATTATCCAGGCTGCATAGAGCAGTGATCATCACTTTGGACCCTGGAGTCAGTCTGCTGGTATTCAGTTTCTCACTCCACTGTGCCCAGTCTCCCTCGTACACAGTAAAATACTAATACTTGTGATATCTGTGCAGATTTCCCTCACACACCAAACAGTTCTCCATCAGACCCCAGCTGAGTGTCCTACAGTTTTGACACTATCTCCCTGGAGATAGCATGGGATGTTGTAACATTCATGGCCCCCATATCAGATGCCACGTGCAAACCCCAGGTTCTGACCTGCGCTTCAGACCCACATCCTGTTTGTTTAATTTTCAAGAGCAGTTTGTAGAGCTCAGAGAAATGTATTGCTTGGGTTGCCCGTGTGTTGGAGTCTGTGTGTGGAAGAGATGCACAGGAGAGCATGTGTGGTCTCCAGGAATGCCATCCTCTGGTGGTGCTCCATAGGAACCCTGTCCGTTTCAGTATAATGAATGCTTCATCATGGAAATATTATTCATTAGGTCATTGGACATTGGTGATTAGCTCAGCCTTTAGTCCCTTTCTCCTCCCAGGGGTAATTGTGGCTGGAAGTTCATGCCACTAGTTATAGTGTTGGTTTGTTTGGTGATCAGAGGAACTGTGTAGGAATTATCAGTCATCTCCTGGCAATAGCAATAGAATCTAGAGACTCCAAGGGCCTTAGGAGCTCTGGGCCAGAGACAGTGTGGAATATATATTTGATAATAGTGTCACAACAGTGACTCTGGCTTTAGTTTCCTCTTCAAAAGAATGCTAGGACAACAAGATTGCCCAACTTCTAGTGTCGAGAGAGTTAGATGTATCAGAGCTTAGAATGGTGCCTGCCCAGAGTGATTGGTTGTAAAGATTAGCAGTTGTGCTGGGGATGCTGCTTGGTAATATAGTACTTGACTAACCCAACGCATGAGGACCAGGGTTCTGACCCTGCAGAAACACAGGTATGAGTGCATACACCACACTAACAGTCAGTGCCGAGGGGCAGAATAGACAGACCAGTGTTACAGCTTGGTAGTTAGACCTCAAAAGAAAATCTCTTCAAAGACTTCACTTCCACTTAAGTGGTTTTAAAATGCCACTGTCCATTGCAGAGCTGCCTTGTACCATGAAGCTGTGTTTGGTGAGAGCAGGTCCATCATTCTGATTGATGAAGTTAATGCTGGGGGAAAGCCCACAGATCTGACCGATGAACTGGAGATCTGTTGAAGCTGAATTGTGCAGCTTTCAGTTTTCACTTGGAAAGTCTCTGCACCCAAACTGTAGTTAGAAAATAGCCTGGTTCCATGTCTGCATTCTGGTTTGTGTTTTTCTTTGAAATAATACATCAAGGATACTGGCTTCTACAATGGTCACTCACTAGGCAGCACGGGCTTATAGGAAATTGATAGGTAGAGTGTTTAATTGCTGTTCAAGTGACAATGGTAATTTTTCCTCATTCATTTTTTTCATGGTACCTTTTAAGTTATTAAAAGACAAGTAAAATGTGAGGGGATAGGATCAAAAGCAATTTCAAGGGATATCGTTTCCTCTGAGACAGGTTGGGGGACATAAATTGTGAGGCAAGAGAACAGGAGGGCAGTGGGGGCAAACGGGCAAGGTATAATGTACATATGTGTGGCATGTTACAGAGAAGCCGTTGCTTTGCATGCTCACCAGGTTTTTAAAAGACTACAGATAAATAAAGTGTTAAAACCTACAAGACAGAAAGTTGTTAGTGCTAGGCATGGTGGTGTAATCCTAGCACTGGGAAGGCTGAGGCAGGAGAATCACAAGGCAAATGCCAGCCTGGGCTTTAGGGCTATATAGTGAATTCTAGGCCGGCCTTGGCTGCATAGTCTGCCGTTGTCTCAAACTGTGAGATCAAGGGCAAAGGTTTTGATATTTATCTCTCATTCACCAATCCTGTATTGAGTGTTCTATGTACCGAACATTTTCTTGGTTTTAAGGCTAGGTCAAATGAACTACCTACCTACCAGGCCTCATGGAATTAGGGTTGAGAACAAATAATAAATAATGACACAGATACTGTAATTACAGGCTATGAGAGAGACCACAAGGTTTTTCTAGTGTCTGGACCAGGCCTGAGGAAAAAGGGAGCAAAGGCAGCTCCCCTGATCTCTTCAGGTTGAGGAAGAGGGCTAGCATGTTAGCATAGGAAAAGAGTCTTGGAATGGCAACTCAAAAGGTCTACAAAAGCTGGCTGTGGCGACTCTGATACCAGCACGTGGGAAGTTGAGGCCGTGCTATAACTACAGGTCAAAGCCTGGCTACAGAGTGAGTTCCAGGCCACTCTAGGTTCCCTGTGTCAACTACGTGGAAGGCAAAAAAGGATAGACATAAGTGTTGGCAAACATCAGCAAGATCCTAGCCGCCCAGTGCTCAGATAGCCATGAATTTATGGTGAGCCCCGTAGCTCTTTTCTGCCCCCACCCTTCCCCTCCCATTCACCCAGCTACATTCCCAGCCCCTGTTTTCTGAGACACAGGTTGGCCTGGAACACAAGAGCCACCTCCCAAGTGCTGGGATTACAGGTGTGCTCCATTATGCCTAGCTAGCAGAGGCTATTTTTAACTTTGCAGGTCATCTCTGTCTTGGGACAGAGGGATCTTCTCAAAGCTGTGGTTGGAGAGAAAGTTTAGGAATGTTTATGTCAAGTTGGGTGTTTCCAGGAGGTTGGGCTGTTTTAGTCTCATTTCAGTGTCCTGTAGTTGAACAAGACGCTGCTAGGCTTTTGACGGTTCGTTTGCTTCACCTTAACTTTTTGGCCCACGCATAGTTGAAGCAAATCCTAGGAAATTCAACCTGGATGCAACGGAATTGAGCATAAGAAAAGCCTTCATCACAAGTACTCGGCAAATTGTCAGGGTAAGGTGCACTCCTTATGGTGTTATGTATAGGAGATAGACAAGCTTCTCAGAACCTCCCTCAATCACAGACCAGCAGGTTGACTCTGAAACAACCAAGGCGAGTGTCCCATATACAACTTCTCTGGTTTGGCGGAGGTGGGGTGGTGGTGGTGATGTCTACTTTTTTTTTTTTTTGGTTTTTCGAGACAGGGTTTCTCTGTGTAGCTTTGCGCCTTTCCTGGAACTCGCTTTGGAGACCAGGCTGGCCTCGAACTCACAGAGATCCGCCTGGCTCTGCCTCCCGAGTGCTGGGATTAAAGGCGTGCGCCACCACCGCCCGGCGGTGGTGTCTACTTTTAATACTGTCTGGTTTGTTAGAGTGAAAACGAGACAAAAAAATGCTGGCTAGAAGGTTACTTTAATAGCCTGATCCCACTTGCCTATATCTCCAATTTCTTTCAAATGGTGATTAAAAAAATCTCTCTCTTGTACAAGCCATTTGGTCTCCTGATCGACTGGTCATCTTGTGCATTGTTGAGGAGTGGCTGGCTCTTCCTGGGTTTGGCTGGTGGCCCTCTCTACCATCTGAGTTGCTTCTAGAACTCCCACCACCCATGCTATTACTATTGCCATATACAACTGCTTGACAACCTCTCAGGAGTTACCCAGAGCAGGCAAGCCAAGGATGGCATGTAAAAATAAGCCATCAAGTAGACACATCTTTAGTACTAAATTATTAAGACTACTACTCACCAGTAAAGTATAAACACAGAAATACAGTTTAGGTAAAATCTTGTGTCATTCAGATGCATTTTGTGTTTAGAAACTCTATGGCTAAGCCATTTGATTAGCATAACTAGATGTAAGAGAAGCAGCTGCCATTAACATATGTACTCGAAAGGAGCTTCCTTGAAGAAAAAGACTTGGGATCAGACCATTGCTGACATATGGTAAGAACCTTGCTACGTGCTTGCCAGAGACTTTCATCATGTGATTTCCTCTTGAAAAGATCTCACATGGTAGATTATCATTGAACTTTATACATCCTTGTTTCACTCAGTAGTTGGCCTTTCTCTGTGCTTATAACTGAATTGTTTGTATATACGCTCACATGTAATAGAGCAGAAAGCTCTTTGACTCCAGGAACCCTGTGGAGACGGTGAGTGTTTGGATTCAATATTCTGCCTTCCTAGGCAGCTGTAAATGCTGTTCTGCTAAGCACATTGTTAGGTGACATCGTTTCTGTGTAATTCCCTCATTTGTTTTTATTTACTTATTTAGACAAGATCTCACTCTATAGCCCACACTGGCCTCAGACTCATGGTGATTTACTTGCCTCAGCCTCCCAAGTACTAGCTTTGCAGGTGTGAACCGCCACATCTGGCTCTCTGAGCCTACCAGCATGTGGCTAGAACTAAACTCAGGAACAGCAGCAGGCGCTCTTAACCGCTGAGTCATCTCTAGCCCTCAGTCATCATCTCTCACATATAGTTGGTTTTCCTTCCCTCCCTCCCTCCTTCCCTGCTTCTTCTAGCCCATGCTCCTTTCCTCACTTCTCCTTTCTCTTCTTCCCTCCTTTCTGTTTTTAATATTGTTTTTTCTGAAGGAAGCTATTCTTGACCCTAATGTTTCATGGTGCCTTGCTGTAAAGTATATGTTCTTTAATCAGTGCATTTATTCTTTCTGTAAGGTGATGTTTGGGTTTTGAAAATTGGAATTCAAAGAGTTCAGTATATTGAAAATTTAATTGGTATAACTATGACTCGAGGTAGATACTGAAGTTCATTTCTTAATATTTGAAAATCTGTTTAGAGTACATCTTAGAATTATCTTATTTTATTTTTAAAGATTTATTTAATTATTTTATGTTTATGAGTGCTCTATCAACTTTATACCAGAAGAGGGCACCAGATCTCATTACAGATGGTTGTGAGCCACCATGTGGTTGCTGGGAATTGAACTTAAGACCTCTAGAAGAGTAGCCAGTGCTTTTAACCACTGAGCCATCTCTCCAGCCCCCTTAGAATTATTTTAAATCATGGCAATACATCAGAATTTTGCTATCCTTATAGAGTTTGAGATCTGAACCACACTCAGCTATGTTTTCAACAGACTACTTGGTAGACTTAGTTTTAATTTATTTCTCCCCTTTGGGAAGCTGTTAGTATTTGCTGTTAGTATTTACTAACAGTTATTACACCTGAACTTTTGCTGACTTGGTTTTAATAACTTTTAACTGACAGTCTTACAGAAAAGAAGGAAATAGCAGTGGACTCAACCTTCATTAAAAACAAAAAAAGGTGCCGGGCAGTGGTGGCGCACGCCTTTAATCCCAGCATTCGGGAGGCAGAGGCAGGCGGATCTCTGTGAGTTCGAGGCCAGCCTGGTCTACAGAGTGAGTTCCAGGACAGCCAGGACTGTTACACAGAGAAACCTTGTCTCAAAAAAACAAAACGAAACAACAAAAAAACCAACAACAAAAAAACCAAAACAGTTTCATGTATTGACTTCAGTTTCTCTGAATTCAGCTGAAGAGATCTCAGGCTCTTGGTAGAAACTGGAGAAGAGAGTTAGCAGATTTGGGCAATGGGACAAGACAAAGTTTACACAAGGACTTTGAAACCACAAGCTTAGGTGGCACTGATCCTAGTGACCTTTTGTTTAGTAGTGCCATATTTTTTTTTTCAGGTTTTAACTTTTTAAATTTTTTTTAGAATTTCATGTATAAGGGCTGCATTTCTACTCTCCCCTATCCGCCTTTCAACTCCCCCTTTGTCCTCCTCAATTCTCTCAAATTTGTGACCTCCTCTTTGTTTATTACTATTGTTAAACACACACACTCGCTCACACATATACACCCACACGCTATGTATGTATGTATGTATGTGTATATGCATTCACATGAATATATAAATGCAACCTGCTCTTTCTGTTTAGTGTTGTTTGCATGTATATTTGTGTGGATCTGACCACTTAAGATTGGGTAGCCTGTCACAGGCTTGTCCCTGGAGAAGACTGAATCTCCCTCCCAGCAGCCATTCATAGCCTGTAGTTCTTTATCTAGGAGTGGAGCCTGTGATATTTCCCCATCCACATTAGGATGTCAGCTGGTGGTGTCACTGTGCAGGTCTTGTTAGGTGACTATTGTTAAAATATCATGGCTGCATTTCCCTGTCATATATGGAGACACTATCTCACAGCAGACTTCCTCGTCCTCTGGCTCTTACAGTCTTTCCAGCCCTTCTTCCGTGATGTTCCCTGAACCTTCTTCGGTGTGGGCTTGTGTTGTAGATGTACCCACTGGGGCTGGGCACCCCACAGTCAGTTGTTCTCTGCGTTTTGACCAGTTGTGGCTCCTGTTGTGGTCTCCATTTGCTGCAGAAAGAATCTTCTTTGATGCAAGTGAGAGCTATGCTTATCTGTGGGAATACAGATAAGCATTTAGAATGCATTTGGGAGTTACTCTAGTTTAGAAAAGTTATTACCCTATATTTTTTGTTTATTTGTTTTGAGGCAGGGTCTCATTACATAGTCCTGGCTGGTCACTGTTTCTGCCTCCCAAATGCTGGGATTAAAGGTGTGTGGCACCACATCTATCCTTCTGCTTTCTCTTTATTTAGTTTTGGTTTTTTGAGACAGGGTTTCTCTGTGTTTCCCTGGCTGTCCTGGAACTTGCTTTGCAGCCCAGGCTGGCCTTAAACTCAGAAATCCACCTGCCTCTGCCCCGAGTGCTGGGGTTAAAGGCCTGCGTCACCACCGCTTGGTTTCTAGAGCATATGCTAGCTTGATGTGTCACTTTGACAGACAGAGGAGTCAATGATGCATGGTAACTTTTTTTATGTGAAGAAGCAGATCTCTCTCCTGTATGATTTGTGTGTGTGCTACTTATGTGTGCTGGACAAGTACCCTGCCCCTGAGCCACAGCCACAGCCCTTCTCCCAAGTGACTTTCTGATTAATATTCATTGGCCATGCACTTTATACTCTTCCCTTGTTTGAAAAGTTTTGTGTATGTTTTTCTAAGCATCTTCTAAAGCTATCCATTTTTTTTCTAAGTTTTCCTGGTAATTTTTAGCTGAAAAAAACTTTTAGTTTTTCTGTAAAACAGCCTCTCTTTGCCCCTTCCTTTTCTCTTGGCATAGTGCTGGAGATCAAACCCAGGTAGGTCCTCATTCATGCTAGGTAAGCACTGTAGCACTGAGCTACATCCTGGCTCGTTTTTTATTCAGGCAATCTTTTTACATTGTGGAATCATCTATTCGACAGTCCAAGCTTCACATGGGGAAGTTTGTTTTGTAGATAGATCCCACAAGTGACTTTGGGTTACTCTAACAATTCAGTGCATTTTGTTTTGCAGCATATACTAGAAGAACAGTGAGTAAGACCCTAAGAAACCTGAGTTCTAGGCTAAGCTCTGACCTTAGTAGATTTTCATCACAAACCATAAGCCTCCTTGGACCTCCATTTTATCAGTGAAACAGTCCTTACTAACAGTCTCTGATTTTAACTTCGGGGGGAAATTCAGAACCACACCTGCACCTGCACCTAGCAGTCCAGTGTCTCACCCCAAGAACAACTTACCATCAGTTAGAACCGAAGTGGCTTTGGGTTAGTCTAGAAGGTTAAGATAAGCAGTGGGTGTACAGATAGCATTGGGACAAGAGGCCGTGAGTGGGAGTGCTGGGATCGACAGTGTCTCGTTCATTCAGCTTGGAAGCAGTTGAAATGAAAACAGGAGCATAAATAACCAGGGCAGTTGTTCTTTTGGCAGATGGATCATGTTTTATTGGGACTAACTGCTGATCCTAAGCCTCATGTGTTAGAAAGAGGATGAGTAATTATGTGTTTGGCATGATAGATTGTTACAAGATGTTTAAAACTGTTTAGTAACACAGCTTAAAATTCCATATCCCCGTGTGAAGGTGATCTGCTGTGTGGTGTCTGGTGACTAGCCTATATATATATATATAATGCCATCTACATATATAAAATGCCATCCACACGTGAAGACTGTACTCCACCACAGCAGTGAGCATGTATAGGAGGCACACCACACAGCCATTAAGAGAATGTACCCATCAGGACTCTCTACACACACACACACACACACACACACACACACACACACACACACACACCCTCTATCTCATTCTCTCTCTATCAAATAGAAACTTTAAAAATCTGAGATTAAAACCCATATTTCATTCAACTATTGCCTGTTTATTAAAGAAAATTAGAGTCTTTTTTTTTTTTTTTAACAAGATGAGCAAAAAACCCAATCCCTGACCCAGCACTGTGTTGTAGTCTCCTCTTGATGAGTAGCTGGAACCCTGTTGTTAATCACGTGCATGTTTATGTCTTATGAGTACTCTCGGCCAATGTGGTGGGGCACGCCTTTAATCCCAGCACTCGGGAGGCAGAGGCAGGCGGATCTCTGTGAGTTCGAGGCCAGCCTGGGCTACAGAGTGAGTTCCATGACTGCCAGGGCTGTTATACAAAGAAACCCTGCCTGAAAAAACAAACAAACAGAATGCTCTCTGCTTGTGTTTTTTAAATGTAAATAATTCTGTTTGAAAGGTGAACATGCCCCTTCAATGCTGCAATTTACTCTTTAGAAATAACCATTTTCTGGGGCTGGAGGAATGGGCTCAGTTGTTTAGAGCATTGGGTGGGTGCCCTTCCAGAGGACTGGAGCTCAGCGAACTGTCTGTAAGTACAGTCCCAGGGGATCTTACACCTTCTTCTGGCTTCCACAGGCACCAGGCACACACATAGTGCACAGGCATACTTACAGACAAACCACCCATACACGTTAAATAAGGAAGTAAGTAAATAATTTTTTATTTTTTAAAAACCATTTTCTGGTATTGGAACACACAAACTCTTAGAAAGAAATGATATGATATCCTGTAATTTTTTTCCTATGAAGAGTTTTTTTTTTGTTTTTTTGTTTTTTTTTTTTCGAGACAGGGTTTCTCTGTGTAGCCCTGGCTGTCCTGGAACTCACTTGGTAGCCCAGGCTGGCCTCGAACTCACAGAGATCCGCCTGGCTCTGCCTCCTGAGTGCTGGGATTAAAGGCGTGCGCCACCACCGCCCGGCTTCCTATGAAGAGTTTTATTGTAGAGCTTGCCTAGCATGCATGATGTTCTGGGTTCAATCTCCAGACCCATCAGAAAGAGAAAAGGAGAGTACAGAAGAGGGAGAAAGTGTGTTGTAACTTGGACCTGGTGCCTTAGCATTTGGGAGATGAAGTTAGGAGGATCATGAGTTCAAGACCAACCTAAGCTACATAGTGAAAACTGTCTCAAAACAAATTACCACAACAAAATACATGTGTAAATTCAGATAGATGTAGAACGTCCCTGTCTAAGTGAAATACAGTGTGAACCATTTATGTCTAGTAGCCTCATTAGAAAAACAAGTTTAATATATTTGATTTAACTTACTATAGCCAAAAGATTATCATTTGAACATATAGCCAATGTAAGAAATATTAGAGGTTAAAGTTATTTTTTAACTTGTTATACTAAAAACTCTAAATTTTTTTTTTAAAAAATTTAAAAAAACTAAATTTTTAGTTCAAGTGTGAAATTTTTATTGAAAATAATGGTCTTTGCTAGGCAGTGGTAATGAATGCCTTAATCCCAGCACTCGGGAGGCAGAGGCAGGTGGATCTCTGAATTTGAGGCCAGCCTGGTCTACATAGCGAGTTTCAGGACAATCAGGGCTACACAGAGAAACCCTGTCTCAAAAAAGAAAGTAACAGTCTTCATTTAAACTTTATAAAACTTGCAATTGAAAAGTAGATTTACAAACTCAACTTATGTGCATGCTTAAAAGAGTTTACCAATAAATGAATTTACTTTTTAGTTAATTAAAATAATGTACTGACCTTGTTTGAAGGAACTACGGCTGCTGTGACTTCTATGTTGGACAGAAACAAATTTTGATAATCCTTTTCAGTGGCTGCATACTTACGTATGTGTCCATTTTACGTATGTGTGATCGCTGTGAATTACCACAGTGGCCCTGTGAGTTACTAATGCAAATGCACAGAAGAAATAGAATGTAGCAAGCCGCCCAGCTTAGCCCAGTCATCTATTGCTGAGTCCTGAACTCGTCTCTCCTGATCTAACTGGGAAAAGGCCTCGAGGTTTGCTTTGGTCACTAGTGGGCTGGTGCCCCTTTCCATGCTTGATCCTTCACATATTGTCTGCTTTCAGAAAGGAATCTCCTGATAAGCACGCTATGTAGCTGTAGTGTATGAGTTTAGTACGTTCTTTCCCCTTATTTGGACATGTTCCTTCTTTCTACTTTTTTTTTTTTTTTTTTTTTTTTTTGGTTTTTCGAGACAGGGTTTCTCTGTGTAGTTTTTTTTTTTTTTTTTAAAGACAGGGTTTCTCTGGTTATCCTGGAATTCCCTCTGTAGACCAGGCTGGATCCACTCAGAAATCCACCTGCCTCTGCCTCCCGAGTGCTAAGATTAAAGGTGTGCACTACCACCTCTCAGCTGGCAGCAAATATTATTAAATTGTTCGATACAAAACAACAAAATTCATTTTCAAAGAGTTCGTCCTGTTACCATCCATCCATTATATGGGAGCAGTATTAGTGTCTTAAATACTTTATTGGCATACAACAATATAGAAAAAGTCACATATCCTAAGCAGTTTGAGTTTATTACAGGGATACTCCATTTGAGCAGCACCTAGAAGCATGAAGCAGGCTATTACAGTACTTCAGGAGCTTGTTGGAGGTGTGTTCAAGTCATTACCTACCCCTGCCATCCAACTTTAGACGGCTAACGAATTCTACAAACTAGGTTTGAAGGCTAAGGTGCCACAGTCTCCATATGCACGACGATTCCATTATGGACGTATTGTGCTCTTGTCTTCTTAGAAAGACTTATAACTGTTTTAGAAAGACTGTTATATAGTTGGCGAGCTGGAGACCATATCTGATACTGCTCTTTCTCAATAGTAATGTACATTAAATAAATGTAATTTCTGGATTGAATAAATGTTATCTTAAACTAATTTAGTTGATAAATATAAAGGGAATTCTGCCATCCAGGATATGCTGTCTTAACCATCTTGTCTTGAGGTTACTAGAATTTGTATATAACAGAGGTTCTCAAGTTTCAGTCTTTTTTGTTTGTTTTTTGAGATGGGGTTATTTTGTGTATCCCTGGCTGACCTGCTCTGTAGACCAGGCTGGCCTCAAACTCACAGAGATCTGCCTCTACCTCCCAAGTGCTGGGATCAAGGGCATGTGCCACCATTTCCTGGTTCAAGTTTCAGTCTTAAGACTCCCCAGAGAGACTTGTTAATAAAGACTTGCCATAAAGAGCCTGTGGCATAGATCAGGATGGGACAGAGAAGGGCATTTTTAGTAACCTCTTGGGTGTGTGAGTTGGATACTTCACTGTGTGAGTTCCAGGGAGCAGAGAACCAAACATGTCACCTGTCATGCTTGGTATATATCGGACATCAGTAAGTGCTTGCTGAATGAATGATCAGGTACTTTGAAAGTTGAAGCAGGGTGGTTTTTCAGAATTAGCCATAGTAGGAATTTTAAAGCCATGGCATGCCTGATCTAGCACTCACTTGGCTTAGGTCTTGGTACCTGGCAGGGTGTGATGGTGCACACCTTTAATCCCAGTACAGGGAAACAGACACACAGATCTCTGATTTCAGGATTAGCCTGGTCTATGTAGTGAGTTCCATGCCAGTCAGGGCCCTAGAGTGAGACCCTGTTTACAACAACAAAAGTTGAATACCCTAACATTTGCATCTGTAAGAATAAGTACACTTGAAATTTCAGAAATTCAGAAATTCAGAGAAAAGCATTCAGAAAAAAACAAAATTCCAAAGTATCTTGACATTTTTTTAAAGAAAAATTATATTGCAATTACAACATACTTACTTTAGATTTTTTTTTCAGATGTTTTCCATTATAGTTAAATGTAAGAGTTAAAATGACTCATATTTAATGAAATTTTGCTTAAGGTTAAATAACATATCCTGATTTTTGCTAATACTTTAGAAATACACTCTGCTGTTAGAAACAGTCTGTCCTGTAAATGAATGCAACTCAGAAGTAAGTGGACGTGCAAGAGTTTCGTGGTAGTAATGGTAAGTGCACTTTAGGAAGAGCAGGTTTACATGTGTGTACATGGTCCTTGAGCGCAGGCTTCAGGTTTTCTACCTTCACATTGTCCTTTATTGGCTGTTTGACTTTGAGAAGATATCATTCTTTCTGGACCTAGGCCCCTCAGCCTGAAAATGGAGATCCCATCAACTCTTTGGCTTCTCAGGAAAGTTCAGAGAGCCCTGATTCTATCTGATAGATAGTTGCCTTTCTCTGTCTAGTTAAATTTAGTATCTGAATGACCTGTTTTTAAGGGAAGGTCTTTCCTATTTCCTTTGTGTTTGAAATTGAAAATAAAAGCAAAGAATGCTGTCTTTTTTGCTTGAAGATCAACAATCAATTGTGTATTTTGCTAATACGGGAAATACTAGCCATGATTTTCTTTAAGGGTATTTTTCCTTTTATTTTCTGCCCTTTCTGTCTCATTAGGACATGAAGGATCAGATGTCAGCTTCGTCTGTGCAGGCACTGGCTGAAAGGAAAAACAGACAGGTGAGAAAGCATCAGAATGTAAGTGTCCGTTAAAGAAAATATGTGTCTAGACATTTGGGATTTGAAATTGCTGACCATCCCTGGATCGTGTGATGAAGAACAGGACCTGTGTACACTGGCCCGGGGGTGATGGGGTAGGTATTGTGACGTCTTTTGTTTGTTATTGCCTGTTCCTAGTACTTAAGCCACTGTAACAAACTCTGGAGCTGATCAGCTTATAGACAACAGAGTTATATTATTGCTCATTTGGCAGGTTTTATCCATGATTGGTTAGTCTCAATGCTTTTGGGCATGTGGCATCATGACAGCAAAACACAAAACTCACTAATTCCACTTCTTTAGAAATTTTTCTTTTTATACAATGTATTTTGTTCATATTGTTTGCCCATCTCCTGACTCTTCCCAGATCTCCCCCTCCTTACCCACTCCATTTCATATTCTTTCTTTTTCTTAAAAAACTGAAGCCAAGCTGGGTAGTGGTGGCGCATGCCTTTAATCCCAGCACTCGGGAGGCAGAGGCAGAAGGATCTCTAAGTTCGAGGCCAGCCTGGTCTATAGAGTGAGTTCCAGGACAGCCAGGACTACACAGAGAAACCCTGTTTCGAAAAACCAAAAAACAAACCAAAACCAAAACCAAACAAAAAAGCAAGCTGGAGCACACACGCACAAAGCCAACAACATGTAGTCCGTTTTGTGTTGGTGAACACATCCTGAGCATGTGGCCTGCCTGCCCTAGAGTGTAGTTAATAGTACCCAGTGCCACTCCTTTGAAGAAAAGGGATCTTCACTCTCCCAGCATCATTTAGTGGTGAATACCGTTGTTTGGGATGGGACTTTGTGTCCACTTCCTCTTCTCCATGCCGGGATGTTGTCTGGTGTGACCCTGGGCAGGGCTTGTCCGTGCGGTCATAGTTGCCGTGAGTCCGTATGTACATCAGCCCTGTCGTGTCTGCATGATGGTGTTTCCTTGGAGTCACCCACCATCTCTGGCCCTGGCCATCTTTTCCATCTCCTCTTCTGTGTAGGTCTCTGAGCCTTGAGGGGAGGGGGGTGATACAGACATCTGAGTTAGGACTACGTGCTCCAGAGTCTGACTCTGCATGTTGTCCAGCGTGGGTTAATTGCCATCTACTGCAGGAAGAAGCTTTTGGATCCGGGTTCATCTGTGTACTGATTTTACGGTGATTAGCTACACGTCTAGAAGATTCCGTTACCTTTCAGGAGTGCCACAAGCTAGGGCCCAAGGCCTTACCACCTGGCCTTCGGCAGACATTTAGACAAACATTAGCTTCTAGACAGCTTTCCTCAACTCTGCCACTCCCCCCCCACCCCCCCACCCCCCCCAATTCTGCTCCTGCTGACAGACCCCCAGCACCTTTTGCTCTTCGGGCACCTCCTGTGAGCCAGGTGTCTGCTAAAGACTCTTAATAACTTACTGTCTTTTTACAGGTCTCCAGGCTCCTTGATAATGACACGGTCATGTCTGAATTTTGATGTAGCCAGGAGGTTGCTTGTGCCTCTAGGATGGCTACAAGTGTAAGGCCAGTCAGTCCACATGGTGTGGGCTCAGCACCAGCCTGGGATATATAGTGAAACTTTGTCTTACAAATAAGTAAATAAATGACATTGATGTAGACACCTGAGTAATCCTTAATGTGCTTCAAAATTATTTATTTAGTTAGTTAGAGACAGGGTTTCTCTGTTTAGCTTTGGAACCTGTCCTAGAACTCACTCTGCAGTCCAGGTGAGTGCTTGTACTCACAGAGATCCACCTGCCTCTGCCTCCCGAGTGCTGGGATTAAAGGCGTGCGCCACCACCGCCCGGCCTATTTTTGTTTTTTGAGAAAGAGTTTTTCTACATAGTCCTGGTTGTCCTGAAACTCACTATATAGACCAGCCTGGCCCTGAACTCACAGAGAACCACCTGCCTCTGCTTCCCAAGTGGCTACCACGCCTGACAGCACATTTCAAATTAAACCTCTTCATTTAAAAATAATGGCTATTGATTTGGGGGAGGGGATTGTTTTGTTTGCTTTGAGACAGGGTTTTGCCATGCATGTAGCTATGGCTAGCCTGTGTAGCCCAGGTTGTCCTGAAACTCAAAAACAATCTTCCTGCCCTAGCTTTCTGAGTGCTGGGATTACAGACACAAGCCACCATGCCTGGTTGTTGAAAGTATTTTAAGAAACGGCAGAGTTTTGTATACTGGAAACCCCTTTGGGGGTTGGAGAGATGAGATTACAAGCCCTTGCTGGTTTTCCAGGGGACTAAGACTTGACTTCAGCTTTCAGCATCCATATTAGGCAACTCACAGCTACCTGTAAGCCTAGCTCCGGGGGATCCAGTGCCTTCACCCACATGCACGTACCCGCATGCACACACACACACACACACACACACACACACACACACACACACACACACACACTAACACATAATTAAAAATGATAAAAATAGAAAAGAAACTCCTTTCTTTTTTTTTTTTTTTTTTTTTTAGGTTTTTTGAGACAGGGTTTCTCTGTGTAGCTTTGCGCCTTTCCTGGAACTCACTCTGTAGCCCAGGTTGGCCTCGAACTCGCAGAGATCCGCCTGCCTCTGCCTCCCGAGTGCTGGGATTAAAGGCGTGCGCCACCACCGCCTGGCCAAGAAACTCCTTTCTAATTGTTAAAATATAATCCTTAAAAAATATACAGCTGTCACCTAGAACTTAAACTTGAATTTAAGTTCTGATTTGTTTGAGTTTCTTTTGGTGAGGTAGAATATTCCTTCAAGTCTATTTTTCTTGTTTGCTTGGGTTTGTTTTTGTTGGGCTGTTTGTTTGTTTTCGTTGTTCTTATCTACCTCTCCTCCTGTTAGGAGAGGTAGATAAGAACTAGGAAAAGCTATTGGTCAGCTTGTCCCCATCTACCTTGAACCCTTCAAAGAAGCTAGTCAGTGGCCAAAGTGGCCTTTACCTCATGGGCCTTTGGCAGATACTTGACAGACCTTAGCCAGCCTGCCCTAACACTGCTCCCCACTGCTCCTTCTCGTCTTCCCCTAGCTGCTCTCCTTAGGAGCAGAGTCCCTCCGTGAGGCTCATCCGGATGTTTCGAAGACAGAGAGAACCCTTCCTGGTGTTGCTCAAACCGTTCCACCAGGCACCAGCCTACACTGCCACAGCAAAGCCTGGTCCAGGTTGAAGGACCATTTAAGTGCTCAGCAATAGCTCCTGAGTGTTTCTCCTGACTGGGTGTCCCTCCTCACACAGGCGCTTCTAGGAGACAGCAGCCAGACCTGGAACACTGGAGTGACGGATCGATACGGGCGCCTTGATCGAGAGCTGCAGCTGGCCAACTCCCATTTCATTGAGGAGCAGCAGGCACAGCAGCAGGTACTGAGAACAGCCCATCAAGGTTCCGGAGGTGGCGGGCAGGGTGCCTCCCCTGACCCTTCTACTAGCCACAGGCTATTACTTAGGACAAGCAGGTTAGACCTGAGTGTGTCCTGTGCTTGGTTGTCGGGTGTGTAATGATCGTATACACTGTTTGAAATCTTGAAGTGTGTGTCCCAGAGAACTAGACTGGATCAGACCTCAGAAAACACAGAGCTGACATCAGAACTGGCCAGGGCCAGGGTTTGTGCAGGCTTTGTTGCTGTTTTGAGATGGGTTCTCAGTGTATAGCTCTGGTTGGCAGGCTGGCCCCCATCACAGAGAATTGCCTGCTTCTGCCTTCTGGGTGCAGAGTTTAAAAATGTGTGCTACCTCCAAATAAGGCCAAGGATTTGAAAAGAGAAAACAATCCTTCTTCCCCCTTGTATATTCAGAATTTTGTTTATTTTAACGAAGATGCTTTCAGAAACATTGAGTTCTTGTTTTGTCCATTAAAAGTCGTTAATTTGTTCCATTATATTTAAAAACCAGTTGCTTTGATGGAGGATGAGGTATAGAAGGAAAACGAGCTGGTCCCCATGTTGTTACATTCTTTATTTATATATTTATTGTTACTGTTTTACTGAGGCGGAATCATGCTGTGTAGTCCAGGCTGGCCTTGAACTCATGGTTCTTTTGCCTTAGCTTCATATGTGCTGAGATACTAGGCTTGGGCCACCTGCCCACCTGAGTTCTTGCTTTGATGGCTAGCAATGCTGGTAAGAGGAAGCTAGCGATTACGTTATGTAGGTATCAGGATATTGGAATCACCTGTCCACTGAAACCGTGGTTCGTAAATACTGTTTTATGTATATATGTGGACTTTGTGTTATTTTGTTGTATTTACATTATCATGATGGCCTAAGTAGTTGTTTGCTCTCAAAATGTTCCAGTGAAGCAAAGGTTTTAATAGAGAGTAAGGGGACCACAGCACAATCGAAGTAGGCCTTTGTTAGCCCACAGTTGTCATCGAGGTGAGTTATTGTCCTTGAGGAAGAAGAAAAGGGCTCTCTGCAGTCTTCCCACATCCAGAGATTTGCTAGGCTCTCTTTCACGCATGCTGTGGCAGTGTGTTGTGTTGAAACCTCGATCTTGGCAGTGGGCTTCCTCATCCTAACCAACCCCTGGTGTGGTGGTCATATGCTTGTGTGCTTTTGGCCATCGTCTCTTCCCTTACTGGACCTCAGCCAAGCAGAGTAAATCTCTCTTGGTGGTTTCAAGCCCTGCTGACTGTTCACAAGTTGGATCAGCAGGCGATTTGGGTAGCTTGACAATCCAGTCTTTGGAGCAGTGTGTTCTCAGAGGCAATGGTCTGTGTTCTTTGATTCTGGGCTTTGCTTTTGAATGTGAATTGTCCCAAGCTGGCAAAGAAACTAGCAGCTGCTGGAGTGCTGGGCTTGGAACCAGGTAAGATGGATTTTAATTGCTTATTTCCGTTTCTCTGGCACCAGTTGATTGTGGAACAGCAGGATGAGCAGTTGGAGCTGGTCTCTGGCAGCATCGGGGTGCTGAAGAACATGTCCCAGCGCATCGGAGGGGAGCTGGAAGAACAGGCAGTGTGAGTAGTGAGAATGCCCTTATCTGCAGTGATGCGGAGGGGGAGAACCATCCCATGAGACCCTGAAAGCCTAGCAGTGAAGTACAGGGCTGGGAAAGAGAAAAAGCAACTTAGAGTTACAGTTTTTACTTTGTTGCACAGACTAGCTCCCCCAGAGAAGCAAATCTACCAGATAAAATTCACAATGGTTGTTTAGGCACTCTAAAAGAATGATAAGCAAAGATAGCTTTCTTGAATGCTGCCACATAATACCATTCTACTTTTTTTTTTTCCTGGGTGGGTGGGGCATCTACTAAGATGGTTCAGGAACTCTACCCGCTCTCAATTTTCACTGTTACACATGCTCACTCTCAGTTCTTCCTGGGTACTTGTCTGCACCACGCTGTCTGGGAGGCTCTGGGGATATCAGAATGTCTGCCACTTCCCAGGGACAGCACACATTGTACAGATGAAGGAAGTAGTCTCCTGGTGGTGGTGGGGAGGGAGTCACTGTTAACTGTGATAGGCCAGTTCAGCTGACTGGAGAGCCCTGTCTTTTCCAAGAAAGAGGGTCAGCCGAAAGCTGTGGGATGCTGAGAAGGTAGGTGGTTGAGTGAGCCGGTGACTCTGCAAAGATGTCAGCAGGTGTGTAGGAGGGAGGTTCAGAGGTACAGGTGTGCACAGAACAAGGTGTCGAGTGTCTAGCATGGGGAGAGAGGGAGCAGAAGTCCTGGGGGAGTCAGTGGACAGCAGGGAGGGCTTTGTCAGTGTGGTGAGAAGGCAGGACTTTGCCTCTTCCGTGTGGTGGGAGGGCGGGGAGGCGGAGTTTGGAGTGATGGCATGAGCCGGAGCTGGGATTCGGATGATATACCAGAGTGGAGCCAGGCGGGTATGCCAGATGGGAATCTAGAGTAACAGGTACCCAAACACACAGGTTGAGTTTCTGTTTCAAATGGAAAGGGGCTTGAGCCACGTTGTTGGTGAGGCAGTGTGAGAATAGAGACCACCTGAGATACAGCTCGTTAAAGATGCTGGTGAGGAGTCTGTAGCTCCATTCCTTTCAAAGTCCCCACAGCAGTAACAGAAATGTTTTTGCAAGGATTTAAAACCTCCAGAGAACATAGAACACGAAACATCAGTTATACCAGTGTAGATGATGGACGGCAGGCTGGCGGCTGGCTGTGGATTCAGTAGGCCAAAGAAAGCTGCCCCCTGAGCCAGTGGGAAGTGAACAAGAAGCAGTGTGACTCCAACCACAAACCTCAGCTGTGACTAGTCTGCACTTAGGTGACTTAATGTTGAGTATTGATCTAATCCAATAGTGTCACACTGTATCAGAGAAGTGGGAAGGATTCAGAGGTGGGAATTACATGGACTAGAGCTAAATCCTAATCTAACAGTGCTGCACCATCAAGGGAAGTCTGAGGACAAAAGTCAGCATCGTAAGATACAAGCATGCTACTTCAGAAGTGGAGAAAGTACCAGAAGAGGCTGAAGTCAGGGGAAGACCGAGGGAACAGAAGAGAACCATAGTTTAACATAAAATCCCTCTCAGACTGGTTTCCTATTTTATCTGGGAGTTCCTGTATCTGGTAAAAATAAAAGAGAAGAAATATGGGCCTTGAGCTGATCTCTATGCAGTATAGGAGACTAGCCACCAACCTCATGTAGCTACTGAGCATGTGGAATGTGGCCAGACTGAGCTAAGATGTGCTGTGAGCATAAAGTGAATGCTACAGTTTGCAAAGGGGCAGAAGAGTTTATTAATAATCTTTATATTACATGTCAAAATGATATTTTGGATATAGTAGATGAGATAAACGTTGTTAAAAAGGAATTCCAAAGGCTGGGGATGTAGCTCAGTTGAGTGTGCACTCGGTCCCCAGCAGTGCGTTAGCCAGGTGTGGTGGTTCACACAACTGGGGGGAGAAGCAGAAGGGTCAGAAGTTCAGGATCATCCTTGTAAGTGTGAGACCCGCCTGGACTACATGAGAGATCCTGGTTCAATTTTTTTAAACCTTTTTAAAAGCATAGTTGTCAGAAAATGCAAAGTGGCATTTGTGACCCTCATGGTCTTTCTGTTGGGCAGAACCTTGGCTGTGGCTGTCCTTGACTGAAGATTGAGTGACATGCCTGTTTCAGCTTTAGAAAGCAAAGTCACACCCAGCACACACAAGTAGCTCTTGTCTTCCAGTGCTTGGCCTGGAGATGCCTGCCAGCTACAGGACCAAAGTGCTGCCAGAGTCCGAGATGAGCCAAACATGTTTGAATCAGAGAACTCAGGTGTAGAACCAAGACTGACTTAGTTAGTTGTCAGTGTGGAGTTTGGCAGTAACTTAATGAGGGGTTGGTGGCTTCAGATCCCAAGGGACTGCCATGTGTCCTCTGTGGGCTTGCACCCAGACCAAGGCTTTCTAGCTGCTAGTGACACTGTTAAAGTAAGGTCTTTGTAGGAAGGCCCTGGTACTAATTGGTGTGTTAATTTGAGCCTCAGACTAATCATGTTCTAGTCAGAAGTTGAAGTCTGGAATGTGCAGTAATTGACGAAGTAAGGGTTGTTAGAATACAAGTGCAGTATTCAGTGCTGTGTTATCCAGCACCGTGCTGGCTAACACACAGCAATGGCCTCCTGAACTGGTTCTCCAGTTCTCCTTGGAGAAACACCACTTGTCTGAAGAGATGGGGTGTCTGTCTCTCTCTCTCTCTCTCTCTCTCTCTCTCTCTCTCTCTCTCTCTCTCTCTCTCTCTCTCTCTCACACACACACACACACACACACACACACACACACACACACACACACACACACATCCACCATCCACACCGTACCCCATACACTATCAGGGATGTCAGGCCTCTGGCTTTTAACTTACAATAAGAAAGAGTGCTTTAAAGGAGAATCTGACATAAAGTGCTTTTGTGTACTGTGAGGTTCTCACAGGCAGCCCTCAACAGGAATTGGGTTGGTAGAGTCACCCTGTGTAACAGGTGACAAAAGAGTCTCAGAGTTGTATAGGGTGCCTTGTTCCAGGCAGGAAGACACAAAGGCCAGCTCTCTGATGGCCTGAGCTGGTAGTGTTGTATGCTCAGAGCCGAACTGCCTTGTCTGTGAATCTGAAATCTACAAATCCAAGGATTTAATTTGCAGCAGATTTGTGTGATGGAAAAACTTTAGCTGAACTGTCTGTAGCGCTGATTCCTCATGGGTTCTGCAGACATACAAGCATGCTTGATTATGGGAACTACGCCAGACCTTGCTAAGGGGTGTTGACTAATCTATAGCATATGTAACTTATCTTAAAAACAAAAAACCCGTAGGTTTCCCAAATTTATAAAAATGTTACGTTGTCCCAAGGATTTGGGGTAATAGAATGTAATCCTGAGTCCCAGAGGCCCCTTTTTGTCTTTATGGAGATGGAGGCCCAGACCTAACTTTATCCACAGCAAAGACAAGGTTCTGCTCACCACCTGCTTTCTCCTCCTCCTCTCCAGCATGCTGGATGACTTCTCTCATGAGCTGGAGAGCACTCAGTCTCGACTGGACAGTGTGATGAAGAAACTTGCGAAAGTGTCTCACATGACCAGTGGTATGTATGTGGAACTACTCTTGGGAGTTCCTACTTAACACTCTGTGACATTCCCGTGCCTGTGGCAGATTTGTCTGTGTTACTTTAGGGTCATAAATGGAACGCTCGTGCGTAGAGACCATAACTGCTCGTGATCAAACTTTGGAGAAGGGTCTTGTGCCCAACACTTGTTGAATATTCTCATGGTAGAGAAACTTCCTTGCAATTACAAAGTCCTTTTTTTACATTTTTCTATTTCTCTTGCCGCATTAGAGAACTTCAATGTTTTTCTTTTGATATTTTTATTTTAGCGTGTATATGCATGTGGATGCACACTTGTCACAGCACATGCATGCATCAGGCATGGCAGCAGGCATCTCACTAGCCCTGGGGAACGTACTTAGAGCCACAGCTGATATACCAGGTGTTCCTTCCTTTGAACTATCTTCCTTCATCATGAGAAAAGTACCTCCTACTTTAGACTCTGAAAGCCTTATAAAGTGACATCCTAGCAAATGTACACCAGGATGGGGGTGGAGAAGTAAGTTTTCATGTCAGTTTCTGTGTTTGAAGATGTTTTCTAATGACTACAGTTTTTTGATCACTATAAATCGCCTTCCTTGTCAGACAGGAAATGATATTTTAAGTCAATATCCAGTATCTCCTCTTTACCTGGAGGGGGTTGCTTGGTGAAAGGAAGAACTGAGATATTTCTGGAGGTAATTTGAGTACTTTGAGGCCATAGGATGCCTCTCATCGAGAGACCCTTTCCCCATCCTGACATCTCATTCCGCTGTGGGTTTTCTGTTGTCAGGTACATGTGACATGGAAGATTAAAATACAGATGCCTGTGTGATCTGCAGCAGTTCACATTCTGAGTTACAGAATAGTGTCTGGGGCTTCATTTCTTAACTAAAAAATTGAAGGTGGTAGTATAGCTCAGTGGTAGAGCACTTGAGCAGGCATGAGCGAGGCCTCGTGGTTTGTGCTAAGCACCATAGAAAGGTGAGCATTGAATGAATAATATTGCAAAGGTGTTTAACAGTATATCTATGCTCTGTAAATATTTTTAACTGTTGCAAGGTAGAAAAGACCCTAAAGGACAAGGAACCATCAAATCCAAACCAAAAGAGACTCATATCTAGAGTTACTTCCTTTCTCTCGAGGCCAAATGCCTTTATGCTTCAAGCAGGTTCTTTGCTAAGCTGTGAGTATACAGGAAGCAGGCACCAGCTCAGTGTATCTTCCCTGGAAGTAGAGAAGAGTTTGAATGCATTGTCTGGTTCCTCTGTTCTCTCCTCTACCTATATAGTTAGTCCTTCACTTTATTTATGTATTTGTTTGTAAACTTTATGTTTGTATGTGGTATACATGTGTGTACGTGTGTTTTTGCAGGTAGGTGTGTGTGTGTGTAGACCAGAGATGGTTTTAATTTTACTCTTTATGTATTGTGTATGTGTATGCACATGTAGGTCAGAAGGCAGCTTGAGGAAGTCTGGGGTCTGGAGAGCCAACTCAGGCTTTCGACTTGGCAGCAAGCACCTTTCCTCACTCAGCCCTCTTGCCAGCCCCTCAGCCTTGCTTTTTTGAGCCTGCGTCTCTCATTAACTCGGGCCCAACCATTTTGGCTAGACTGGCCGACCAGTGTGGGCTCCCTGACCTGCCTGTCTCTGCTCCCTTGCCCTTCCTCACCCAGGCACTGGGATCATAGGCACATGCCACTCTCCTGGGGTTTCCATGGCTGTGGGGATCCAAACTCAGGCTCTCATGCTTAACCAGCAGACGCTTCACCCACCGAGGCATCTCCTCGGTACCCTTTTATTTAAAAACCAAGAAAGTTGTCTTCAGGAAGTGTTCCATAACCAGTTTCAACACTGGCCTCTCACTGGTCTGTGTGTTAGCTGTAGCCTCAAGTAGCCACTTCTGCCTCACGTCTGCCAGGGAAGAGTGGGTGAACAGAGGTGACCCATGTCTTTTGTTTTCTAGCATTCTGGGTGTTATTCAGTTTAGAAAAGGCCTGGCAGTGTGTTTGTAACACCAAGGCTTTCTTATGCTTTATTCTGCTATTTCCAGGAAGAAAAGTTTGGGAAACAACGTGAGATGTTTGGTTATATTTGTGTACAGAAAAGAGCCAGGTAATATTTCAAGCAGTTAGCATGAAAGACCCTTCATTTTAATTTTTGCTTGCTACTGAAGAAATACTGCTATGGTATCACTTCAGTGTGTTGTAATTGTCTCTTTCTCGTCCATAACTTTTGGTTAAGTTCCTTGCTTTGTTCTCAAACCTGTATGTAAAGATGGTCTGAGAACACCAGAGTTTGGGGGGGCAGGCCTGAGCCCCCATCAGCAGCTCCTTAGAGCCAGGCCCTCCCGGCCATTCTTGGCTGGCTGCTTCATGGGAGAAACGGGCCAAGACACCACACTCACTTTTGTAAACGACCCAAGAGAGACACTAATTTGCCTTTCTCTTACCCAGAGGAAAAATATTCCTTTGAATAAAGCCGAGACCCCCTCCCCCATCAGCAGTCTGGGATTCATCTCTTCTCTTGAAGACAGGAAAATATTTTGAGAAGGAAACTACATCGGAGTTCCTTTTGTTCCGCTCAACTGAAGCACACTCTGCTGTAGGTGTGCTTGGTAGTGGAGCGCAGGCTCAGCTCGAGATGCATGCCTGCTACTGTAGTTAGGGCCGGTCCTGGTGTGCTGGGAGCCATACCGGAACAGCTCAGACGTCTGCTAGGGTAATAGCTCCCTAGGGTTACCTCATTTATGCCCTGTAGAAGCAACTTAGCACTTCAAAGGAAAGTGGCCTTGAGAGTGCAGGCCTGGGCCCTGTGAGCTCCTGTGGTGGTCTGCTTGACTAGGCCTGTGCTCTATCAACATGCTTCAGGAGAAAGCCGTTGGGGTTACAGAATCTGGACTGTCAAAGGCCGAGAGAGTCTAGGAAATCTGGCACTTAGAATGATGGGGAACTGGACGGGGAGGGGCAGGAAGTATGTGTGAGGTTGTGGGGGAGGAAGGAGGAAGCAATTATCTTCTGCCTTTGCCCTGGGTAAGTGTCAGTTGTTTTTAATAACAGTGATTTATTACTACATTTTTATATTAATGAGCTTTCTTCCTTTCTTCCTCTTTCTCCTCCTCCTCCTCTTTTTGTTTGCTTTTTGAGTCAGGGTCTCTACATAGCCCAGGCTGTCCTGGAACTCACAGAGATCCACCTGCCTCTGCCTCCCAAGTGCTGGGATTAAAGGTATGCTCTATCACAATTGGCCTCAATCCTCACCCTCCTCCTCTTCACCCTCCTCCTCCTTCTTCTGTTTGTTTTTGAGGCAGGGTGTCATTGTACAACCCTGGCTGGCTTGGATCTCACTCTGTAGACCAGGCTGGCCTCCAGCTCACAGAGATCCGCCTGCCTCTGCCTCCCAGTGTTGGGATTAAAGGTGTGTGCCACCACACCAGGCCCCTGTATGGGTTTTGACAAAAATACATGTATGCATCATTATCCTGTCATACAGGAGAGCTGTAAAACTCCCTGGTTCATTTAACTTTGGAATTAGCACATATTTGTACATATTTATGAACCACACAGTGATGTTTGACCCATGTGTACGTTGGTAATGATCTAGCAAGGAACATGACATAGCCAGCATCTTACCATGTTTCCACTTCTCCCCCATTCCGTCAGGCTGCCTGAGCTTCTGGAAGTAAAGCTCAGCAGTATGTGTCTCCCTAAACTGGTGAGATCTAGACTTGTCCACACAGACTCCCCAGCAGCTGGTCGGTGACAGCTCAGAGTTCCCAGCTCCACACTGGTTCTAGTGGTCACTGCTGGGGGTGTGTGTGGGGGTAAGGTAGGGGAAGGGCTCTGTTCTGCTCTGCTCTGCTCTGCTCTGCTCTGCTCTGCTGTGTGATCCCCACTATTTGTCTGCTGTAGGTTTTCTGTTGTTAGGGGTGGCAGCCTGCCCTCCTGTGGCTTTACCTCTCTGGAAGATAGAAGAAGAAGGACTGTTCTTGTTACTGTGCTCACCTTTTCTCGTTAGGACTGAGTGATAAGGGACAGTCCTCCACTGGACTGGAAACAGTGGTCCAGTATCTCCAGAGAGATCAGAGAATGCTAGTGAGTGCTCCCCACACACCGGCGTTTGCTCCCTGGGAGAGGCCTACACTGCCTTCTTACACCTTTCAGAGCATCCTGCTTCAGACAAAAAGGAATGGGTAGACTCGGGGTCTTAGTTACTCAGTGAGTTTCTGGTGTGTCTGGGTAGACAAGGTGTTGGTTCAGGAAAAAGGGATTGGCTGTGCTTATTGGCATTCCCATCTTCTGGCCACTGAAGAGTTCTAAGATGTTGATATCCGTGGCATTTACTAAGTACATGTTTTGCTCTGTGGAGAGTTTTAATGGTTATTTTTCCTAAATTCAGACCATGCTACAGGATGATCATCAAACTGTGGTTATTGAATCTGTAGGCTCTCCGGTAGACTTGGCCAGCCTCATCCCTTTATTCTGCTGTTCCGATCTGCCACTTCAGCTACATTTCAGAGACTGTGACATTGTGCGTGTGCAGGTCGGGGCTAGAGGTCAGCTTCGGCTGTCTTCCCTACCACTTTCCTTTATTAGTATTATTTTCTGGGGCCGAAAACTTGTCATTTCTGCTCTACTGGCTGGCCAGTGAAGTCCCAAGGTTACCCACCTGCCCCTGTTACCCACCAGCCCCGGGGTTCAGGTTCCTGCTGCCATGCCTTATTTTGACCAGGGCTCAGGGTATTGGACTCAGTCCTCACACCAGTGCAGTGGACAGTCTGCATACTCAGTCATCCTTTTTGTTTATTGACAGAATTTGTGTAGCCCAGGCTGCTGCCAACTTGTGGGAATCCTCCTGTTTCAGCCTTCCTAGTGCTGACTTAACAGCATGCCCAGCATGCCTAGCTCCTTAGTAACATTCTTTGTATCCTCCACTGGGACTTGCCAGTGGAGGTGCCACTTGCATGGTCCACCTCTCCAAGTTCCTTATGTGTCCTAATGATGATGGTGTCTCAGCGTCTCAAGCTTGGGCCCTGCCAGCATGTGGTATAGTTGTTATTAAACCCTCACAAGGGCCTGGTGGGGCAGCTGGTATAGCCCACCAGCATGGTGGGCTGCAGCAGGCAGCCCTGTCCTTCTATGTTGGCGAGGGCTTCCTGCTCCCACCTGTACAGAGGAAGTCCAGCCTCTGTATCCTGTGCCAGTTGTTCACAAGCGTTGGCAGGGCTGAAGGTTACAGAAGACACTGGCTTTCATTCACAGATACACTGTGTAGGCCATTTGAACACACTGACTGGTTGAGGAATCTTACCTGACTAGGTGTGGTACGGAGTTTCTCGTTCTCTGTCGTGGGTGCTTGCGGTCTCTGCTGTCATTTCCTCAAGTGACAACAGTGGCTTTCACCCCTTTCCGCTCTCTCACGCCCTCACTGATAGAGAGCGTGTGCACTGCTGAGTTACATTTCTTGGGGAGACTCTGTGGCAGCAGCAGGTGGGCTTTGTCTGCCACACTAGTGCCAGCAGCCTTCACCGTGCCCAGACTGCCGCCGGCAGAGAGCCATGGGCCGTGGCCTTCAGCTAAGGCCTGGACTCAGGGCCTGCACTTAGTGGCAGAGTTGGAGATGAAGTGCAGCCCTCAGGCAGAGCAGCAGCGGAGCTGCTCTGCTCCTCCTCTGCTAGCGATGTTTGAGAACCTGCGTCCCCGGGAGGGAGTGTCTCACCCGGGAGGGTCACCTCTGTGTCCTGCCTTCCAGATCGGCGCCAGTGGTGTGCCATAGCCATCCTCTGCGCAATCCTGTTGGTCGTGCTGATCCTCTTCCTGGTGCTGTGATGTCGGCCCTCCTCAGGCCTTTCTGCACTCGGACCCAGGGGAGAGGAGGAAGAAGCACTCCGCCACTCACGTTCCTCTCCCCACACACCTCTGCCCCTTCCTCTGTGTGACTCCACCACCGAGACAGCCTCTCTCCAGCGCTGGAGGGGCAAGGGTGGAAGAGGGAAGAGGTGACCGCACTCCCGGCTGGAGAGGAGACGCCCCGCTGCCCGGTGGTTCTGAGGACAGCTCGCCACTGCTTGGCCTTCCTGGCCTCGCTCCTTGAGGAAGGCTGAGTCCCCAGAAGAAAGGACAGCCCCACCTACTCTGTCGCTCATCCTCTGCCCTCTGGCAGCCTTCCTTCTGCTCAGACCCTCTCCCTGCTTAGATGGGTGGGTGCCGCTGCCCCTTCAAAAGACGCCTGGCAAGGACGAGGGCGTTTGGGGATGGACGTTTCCCACTGCTGTTGTATTTCTTAGCCCCTGAGAGCTGGCCGTTGATGAGGACGCAAGGCTCAGAAACACTTTGTGACAGAAATGCAGTGTTTCATTTTGCTGGGTAAGAGCTGAGATGAAATTGCTTTTCCAGATGTGTTTGTGGCAGGGCTAAGTCCCTGGAGGGTTGGGGGTGCTGACGACAAATGGCTGTAATGGACAGGAGCAGTTGAGGGCAGCAGCCCCTGTGTTGGTGCAGCTTAATGAGAGGCTGGCAATGTCTCCAGAGGCCAGGCCGGACCTGCTGACCGTCTGTCCCAGGGATTTCTCCCCAGAGGTGCGGGGGCATTGTGAGTGCCCCTCCACACAGCGTTGAACAGCCTAGCAGTTCTCAGTTGGTGGGACATGCCTTCTCCTCAGCTGCCTTTACTCCAGTGGCACTCAGAGTGAGGTGGAGGGCTCAGACATTTATTACATTTATGTAGACACTGTCCTGATGCAAAAAGACTGCTTCTGAACCAGACGTCCCTTACTCTGTGAGTAATAGCGTGGGTGGGTAAGAGAACTTGATACTTGGTTCTCTAAGAAGCACCTTGACGCCATCGTGCATTTGACTAGCCAGCCAGTCCAGCTCCACTGACAGATGGTGGATTGGGTTGAAGAAACAGAAGTGATGACACTAAGCTTCAGGCTTCAGGTGACGTTTTAGACACTTCAGATGTACGCGCATGTAGAGGATTTTATAACATCCCTCCCTGATGCATACATAACCTGGTGTTAGAGTTGCTGTCAGGCCCAGAGCCGGCCTTTCACCAAGGAGCTGCCGCTCGGTCGTCTCTGTGCTGCCAAGAGCGGCATCTGGACAGACTTTGACCTTTGACCTCCCTTGCTTTGCCTTTCTGTGCATTCCTTAGCACGCCAACTTAAAAAAAATATCCTGGGTTGTTCATATTCTTTGGGATTTTGATTTTTGGATCCCTTTTGGTTTTGTTATTCCCAGTGATGTGCTTGCCCAGCTAACTTTTAAATTGCACTTTTAAATAAACATTTGTAACAGTTTGTACAAGAAGGCTATTTTAACTCGTTTAGGATTATGATAGGTAAGGAATCTACCTGTTGGTGAAAGCTAAAAGATTTGTAAAACCAAGAGGGTCGTCAGCACCATGTTTACATCCAGCTCTGGTGTTTGATAGAGAGACGTTATTTCTTTTCAGATTAGGGGAAAATGTGAATATTACAAAGGGCTTCAATGTAGGCTTCTGTGTTATTTATATTTCACGGAATTTTAAGGTTTTGAATAGTCTTCTGTGAACTTAGACCATGGATAGTCCTTAGATTTGCATTAAAAGATAGAAGCCTTTTGTTAAAAATCAATGTGGGCCTTGTCTGAGTACTGTAACCCACACTCCACATTACAAAGCCGTGAGCAGTCAAAGAATTAAAATTACCCTGCTTAAAGCCATGTTCTTCTGCTCTTAGAAGAGTGTCAGACCCATTCAGAAATGTCCACTCTTTAGGAAGATTCCCCATCAGTTCAGGGATGAAGTTCCGTGATTCGGGGCTTAGTTTGGTTGGCTCTACTTTGGACTGGCGTGTTGACCTCACTGGTTTATTTGCTGAACAGTGCTGTAGACCTGAAACAGGCTGGAGCTGAGCGTGGAGTATGTAGAAAGAAGGTCAACTTGATATGCAGGTCTTCCCTTCCTGGGCCACATCCTCCCACAGCAGCTGACTTAGTCCAGGCCCATCCTTTAGTGCCCGGGCAGTCACTGCAGAGCCAGGGCTCCTGTGAAATTGTGGCAAAGAGAGCAAGGACATAGCTTTCTTTCTTCGTGACCCAGAGAGCCGAAGGGTTCTTCCAGCATGTGTCCTCGAACAGGGAAGTGGGCAGCAGGGTGCCCACACTGCTCAGGAGTGTCTCTTGCAGATGCCCCCCACTCCCCAGCCTTCTGCACGTGGTCTTTCATCCATCACGTTTAAAGAACTGGCAGAATATGCTGGATAACAGAGAGAGCTCAGTGTGTTTACTGGTGTTTACTTTACTTTAACTGATTGGGGGTGAGATGGAGGATGATCCATTGAGAGCATTTGCCAGAGTGCAGACCCAACTGGAAAACCAGGATACCTTTAGTTCTCAGCCCACGTTTCAGGTCCTGTCTTTGTTGGGAAATCACAATGCTATCTATGCTCTGGACTGGGAGGCAAAGGGAATTGTCGTGTATGTCTGAGCATGCGTGTTGTATTTTCTTCCATTTCAGAATTCACGCTAGAGCTGAAGCAGGGAAATTTGGTAACTTGCCCATTATTCTCTGCTTTTAGCCAGAGTTAAACAGACTGGTGGGTCTGGTAGCCAACAACTTGGCAACTCCCATGCCTTCTCACCTCGTGCGAATAAGGGCTGTGAAGAGAAATCCAGTCTGATCCAGCAGGAGTCTGTCTCCATCGAGTGTTTTACCTTCTGTAAGGGAAGGTGCTGCAGCCAAGGTTTTCCCTTTGGAAATTTTTCTGCCCACAGAGGGAGACCAGAGGGGCATTCGTAGCGTCTGCAGATCCGGAGCTCCAGGGAGGAATGAGTTCACCTCTGTGGACTCAGTGAGGTTTGGCTTCACCCTAGGCCACAAGGTGAATTTGTCAGCAGAGCAGGCATGGAGGGTCTGGAAAGTGGGGTGTCAGATGGGGAGTATGGAACCTGTCACTCCCCTCTGCCTTTCTCTCGATGAATAGCCTTCTCTCCCCAATGGTAGGAATGACGGGTTTCTGTTTATTTTTCTAAAGTGTACTTTGTCCGTCAAAACCAGAATTCCCAAATGTATCAGCTCTCCATCGCTGGGCCTGCCCCCCACAGTCACTTCCTGAAGAGAAGACACACTAACAAGAGGCCTTCCTAGGCCACTGGAGACCCAGCCATACGATCCTCTCTGGACCCTCGCTTCCGAGGGGGCGTGGTAAGACACGAGGTGGTCCGTCTGAAATGTCCAGCTGTCTGTACTCAACTCCCAACCTCCAAAATCCATGCTGAGCCTGAAGGTGGTCTCACCCTTGAGAGTACAGCAGTGGGGACTGGTGAAATGGTGAGGGCACCTGCTGCCAAGCCAGGCGACCTGGCTTTGACCCCAGAACCCACCTGGTGGGAGGAGAGAGCCGACTCCCACAGGTTGTCTTCTGACCTCTACATCCGTGCTACGTTGTGGGTGTGCGCACGTGCACAATAAATAGGTACATAAACGGACACTGTTTTAAAAGGAAAAAAGATGACAGTGGTCTGTTGTATATGAATGTGGATGCCGCTGTCATCCACTTCTTACTAAAGCTCACTGGGCAGCTTTGCTCTCTGGTTTTGAATCCAGGAAAGTGTGAGTTGGGAGTGAAAGAGCTCCTGTGTCCTGAGCAGCAGGGCTGCGACCCAGGACAAAATGAAGCTGTGAAAGAGCCACCTCTGCCATACCGTCTTCACTTTCGACTGTGGGACAGGAGGCAGGGTGCCATCGGAAGATGAAGAGCCATTGCCGCAGGGCTTAGCCATTGGGAGCCCGGGGCCTTTTAGGACAAGTCAAGGCACTGTAGGCTGGCCTTGGTAACAAACTCAGACCAATGTTAACTTGTACTCAACTCCTCGCCATGGTGTGTTTTGCCTTGGGACAAACGCTGAAGCCAAGCGTTGCATCGTGCCTGTTCAGGTGGCTGCTGGCTGGCTGCATTTGGAGGTTCTCCATATGTCACAGTCAGCTGTCAGGGCAGGGTGAGAAAGGAGGAGAAAAGCCCGTGTGCGTGCGTGCGTGCGCATGTGTGCACATGCATGCCTGTGTCCCTGATGTCAGCTAACATGTTGGTGCTATTCTTCTGACCTAAATCTGGAAATGCTCTTCCCCTAGCTGTGCATACTAGCTGCTCAGGTACCCACTGCTGGGGTTTCACAGGAACATTTCATGGACCTGGTTTGCCAACTGCAGCCAGAGCTTTATGAGAAAGTGTATTTTGCAGTTTGTTTTCTTATGGTAATGAATTATCTACTGAAAGGCCACTTGGTCCTCGGGGGCTGTTAGAAATAAGACCACCCAGCTTCAGTGTTTGCTGACCAGATATCTGGGCCCTGCCCCCTTGCCCTGATGGAAGCCAACCCCCAACTCCACCTCCACCCCACACCCCACCCCTCCATCTAAGCTTTCATGAGCCTTGGGGTGGGACCAAGAGCAGACTTTTCATTCCAGCTCTGCTGAATGTAGATTCAGCTGGAATCAATTTGTGAACAGCAAGTGTGACCCTGAAGCTGAGCTCTGTCCCGGGAGAAGCAGGTGTCTTTATTCCCCGGGAAAGCAGAGTGCTTGTGCCCTGGTCGTCTTGGGTGAGGGCAGCCAGCGTCCTCTGATGAGACTTCGGAGTTGCTTTTTTATTTTGTTCTGCTTTTTTCTCTTTTTGCTGTTGGCATGGCTTGGGATTGAACCCAGGACCTCGCATATCCACCGAGTCACATCCCAGCTTTGGAAAGTGTTTTTGGCTCCCTCTGACTTTTTCCTAATTGGCCCTGGCTGGGCTCAGCCCTCATCATGCGAGCAGCTATGAGGGCCATCTAGGAAAAAGCCAAAGGAACCCTGTAGATGATGGTAGCTTTGAGTTTTACAAGTGGAAGTAGCTTCCCCGGCTCACTGTAATCAGAGATTGGTACCATTCAGAACTAGAATGTGTGAGTGACAAAATAGTGGGGTATAAACCCTTATATATTTTTCCAAGGATAATAGCTTTACTGGGTTTTAACTTTACATAATAGGATGTACACGGTGGTATGGGGTCAGGATCAGAACTTTACCTGGTATTGTCCAGGTTGTGCTTCCCTACAACATGGTAAGAGGGAGCCAGATCCCTAGGACTAGAGTTTTGTCTCCTCTGCCACAGGTAGATTTATGTGGTGGCTCTCCCCGATTCAGAAGCTTGTTAGAGCCGGGCAGTGGTGGCACATGTCTTTAATCCCAGCACTTGGGAGGCAGAGGCAGTTGGATCTCTGTGAGTTTGTGGCCTGCCTGGTCTACAGAGTGAGTTCCAGGACAGCTAGAGAAGCTTTGTCTCAAAAAACAAAACAAAAGAGCTTATTAGAGGTGCATTTTCTGTGGATCATTAGGTCTGGAGATGAGGCCGGCACCGTTCCCCCCACCCCACCCCACCCCAGGCTCCAGTGTATGCATTGAGGACCATTGCTGGTGCATTGTGGACCTCTATCTACAGGGAAACATTCCTCAAAGAATCATCCCTGCTTTGATAATCCTTTGGTAATCCTACATTTTGATGACATCACACACTTGAAAACTTGTAAAACATACTTGTGTAAAATAACGAGCCACCCCTAACAGGATGTTTTTATTCTTGAAGTCCGTTGCTCACATTCATACTTCTGCTCTTGAGGTGGCGTTGTAGCCATGTGAAAGAATTCTGTATTAAAGCGAGATGGAGAGACCAGAGCTTCGTCTGGAATGTTTCTTTCTGCTTTCTTTTTTTTAATGGAGGATTGAACTTAGGTCACCACCCATGCTAGACAAGTGCTCCACACACCCCCAGCCCCTCTTGTTCTTGTTTTTAGCCTTTTCCCACTTAGATGCAGGTTAAATGCACTCCTTCCCATCTGTGTAATTAATAGAACATGTGGAGGCTGGGGGCCCAGCTCGGTGGAGAAGAGCACTTACTGTGTAGACGTAAGGACCCGAGTTCACATTCTTCAGGACTCACATAGAAGCTGGGGATGGCTACTCATGTCTGTAGGTTATAGCTCCTGTCTGTAGCTTCAGTATTGGGGTCAGATGGAGATAAGAGGATCGCTGCGGCTTGCTGGCCAACACAACTGAAAAAAAAAAACAAAAAACCAGTAAACTCTAAACTCAGTGAGAGACCCTGTCTAGAGGAGCTAAAGGAGACCGACGGGGGGAGGGGCACCTGAAGACCTCCTCTGCCCTCTGTACACACATACTGCAGCACACACACACACACACACACACACACACACACACACACACACACACTTTAAAATTACTAACATATGAAGGAAGCTATTTGCAGTTGATCCCTGCTGGGTATAAGGGGAAAATCATTTTTCTTCTATGGAGTATCAATGTGTATATCATCCTCCAAGGTAGGCCCTATGCCCAGGAGTAGTTGGCCAACACAAAATGGACTCCATGTTGTTTTGTGTGTGTGTGTGTGTTTTTTTTTTGTTTTTTTTTTTTAGATTTTATTTATTATGTATACAGTGTCCCACCTGCATATATGCCTGCAGGCCAGAAGAGGGCACTGGATCTCATTATAGATGGTTGGGAGCCACATGTGGCTGCTGGGACTTGAACTCAGGACCTCTGGAAGAGCAGCCAGAGGTCTTAACCTCTGAGCCATCTCTCTCTCTTGCTCATTTTGTGTGATTCTTGTTTTGATAATTTTTTTTGCCTTACTGTTTTATTTTTCCTTCCTCTTTTTAGTTTGTTTTTTTTTTTTCTTCTTTTTTTTGAGTGAGAGAGAACATGAAGTTGGTAGGGAGGGAGGTGGGGGAGATCTGGGAGGAATTGGGGGAGGGGAAGTGTATGATCAAAATAAATGAAAAAAATTTAAATAAAAATTTAAAAATACTGACCTAGACATTTGCTTGGAACAGAGCCAGCTGACACAGCTGCTGGAAGGTCAGGATTCTGAGCTGTGGGAGCTAAAGATGTCGTGACCTTGGTGGAGAGCTTGCCTAGCATGCACAAAACCCACGGTTCAATCCCTAGCACCGCATAGAACCAGATGTGGTACAGATGTGCCTGCCTGTGACCCCAGCATATAGGAAGGTGGAGCAGAAGGACCAGAATTTCAATCCTCCTGCCTCAGCTCCCTAAGTAGCTGGGATTACAGGCCTCCACCTGCAGACTGCAGGAAGCAACTAAGAAATGCACCAGCATGGGGCTGGAGAGAAGGCTCAGTGAGAGCAGTGAGAGCACTTGCTCTTGCAGAGACCTGTGTTCTCTTCCCAGCAGCCACATGGCGGGCGGCTCACGACTGCTCATAACTCCATTTTCAGGGGCTCTGACCTCTTGGGCACCAGGCATGCCCAGGGTGCATTCATACATACATGCAGGCACTCACATAGATACATAAAATACATCCTTTTTTGTTTGGTTGGTTTTGTTTTGTTTTCTTGACAGGACAGGGTTTCACAGTGTAGCCCGGGCCATCTCACTCACTCTGTAGACCAGGGTCGCCTCGAACTCACAGAGATCCACCTGCTTCTGCCTCCTTCCTGAATACTGGGATTAAAGGCATGTGCCACCACCTCCTGGCACACAAAATAAATCTTAAAAAGGGAATTAACCACCAGTCTAGTGTCAAGGTCTATAGTTCCCAGCTATTGTAGAGGCCGAGGCACTTTAGTGAGGCCTTATCTCTCCCACCCCCACCCCGTCCCCCCCAAAAGAAAGAAGTATGAAATGGTATAGCGGTAAATAAAGGTGTTTGCCATCAAGCTTGAGGACCCAGATCCAGTCCTGGGAGCCCACATAGTGGAAGGAGAGGGCAGCTCTTCCAGGTTGCCCTCTGACCTTCACATGGGCGCCATGGCACATGCGTACCCACACACGTACAGTACCTCCAGTGCTGATGCTGGAACCAAGTCTGACTGGACCACAGGCCGTTGCTTTAGGGAAAAGCTGCCAGTCTGAGCTCAGTGATGGCAAACAGGTGTTCACTAAGCTGTCTCTAACCTGACTTCAACATGGATGCTGTTCCTCAGGAACCAGCCACCTTGGTTTTTAAATCAAGGTCTCCGTCTGGGGCTTGGTCAGCCAGCAGATTCCAGGACCCCTCCCACCTCTGCCTTCCCAGCCCTGCGATGACGAGCATCTGTCACCATAGCTGGCTTTTTAAAAACTGAGGGTACCGAGACTCGAACTCAGGTCCTCAGGCTTTATATGACACTCCACTGACAGCCACCTACCTCCCAGCCCCTAAAACACGGAACTCCTCAGTGCCTAGGGTGAAGTGTGGATGTCAGTCGCCTTGGTTTGACTGTGTCCCAGAGCCTTGACTACTGTTAAATCAGGAAATCTGATCAAGGCCAGGGCACGATTGCATAGGCCTGTAATCCCAGCCCCTCAGGAGGCTGAGGATTGCAGTGAATTCAAGACCAGCCTGGGACACCCAAAATAATAATTCTGGTCCAGGAGCTCAAGTCAGCCTCAGTGGTTGTGTTGGTTACTATGTCAACCTGACACACAAACTGGAGTTATCCAAAGGGAGGGAAACATAATGGAGAAAATGTCTCCATAAGATCTGGCTGGTGGACATTTTTCTTAATTAGTTATTGGTGGGGGAAGGCCCAGCCCATTGTGGGTGGTGCCATCCCTGGGCTGGTAGTCCTGGGTTCTATAAGAGCAGGCTGAGTAACCCATATGAGAAGTCAGTGAGCAGCACTCCTCCATGGCTTCTGCACCAGCTCCTGATTCCAGGATCCTGTTCTGTTTTCAGTTCTTGCCCTGACTTCCTTCAATGCTGAACAGCAATATGGAAGTAGAAGCCAAAAGCACCCTTTCTTCCCCAGCTTGCCTTTTGGTCCTGGTGTTTTCAGTGCAGCAATAGAAATCCTAAGACACTGGTATCTGGATCTTGTTTATAAGAAAACTGACCCCAGCTGCTTACAGTAGTAACCCAAGAAAACCTGGAGACTGATGTGTCCAGGAGGGCATCGGTGGCACCAGAGCTCCCAGCACATCCACATTTCCTCCAATTTAGCTCCAGAGCTGGGTGGAAGCTGCTGAACTTGGGGAATCATGGAGCTGAGGCTGGCCCTCCCCAGAAGCCTTTGTGGCCCCCAGGTGGGAACGGGCCTCCTGCCTTGGGTCTCTTGTAGCCCACGGCATGTTGATCTCCCTTATCTCATAGCTATACCTGACTCCGCTCCGGAGCTGTTGGCATCCCAAAGGGCAGAGCGGGCCTTGCCTTAGTGCCTGGCACCTGGCCAGAGCCCCAAGGGCAGCCCCACGCTGTGATAGAGGCCTGAGCCCAGATTGTAGAAGGACAAGACAAAGGCGGGCCTGGCAGGTGGCTGGGCATCCGCAGAACAGCCCCGGATACCCTCCAGGACTGGCCGGGCAGCTGTTGAGCCCTGGCTCCAGGGGCACAGTATCTGAGCCAGTCCCAGCAGCTCCCTTCCTCGGGCCCAGCACGGCAACCTGGCCAAACCCACAGCCTTTGCAAGCTGGGCAGAGCCTGCCAAGGAAGGCCATTGCCATTTGTGAGCAGGTGCTCTGGCTCCATAGGAAAGAGCGTTCGCAGAGCATGGTGGGAAGGGATCCGGGGGTGGAGGGCTTTTGAATAGCTCGAGAAAGAGCCTATGGATAGAAGAAATGGCTTGGGCAGGTGCACCAGGGCAGAGCAGTTGGCTGCCAGGTAAGTGCAAAGGATAATTCCACTGAAGAAAGTCACCGTCCAAAGTTCCTGGTCGCATGAACGTGAGAGTTAAAGGAAACTGTGCCAGCACGCAGTGTCATGGTTTGAAGCCCAGGACAGACGCTTCTCTAATCCTTGTAAAGGTTGCCAGGCAGCGGGGTGGAAGAGCAGTCCAGCAAAGGCCACAGAGAAGCAGAATGAGAGACTAAATGGATGTGTGGAGCTGGAGCCCAATGAAAAGGCACCCAGCAACCAAAGCTCTTGTCCCAAGTGCCCCCAGTGGGCAACCCCTGAGCCGCTGGGAAGGGCCTGGGAGCCCAGTTATGCCAGCACATCTGCTTCTAGGTCTCTGGCTTTACGGTGACTTGCGTCTAGAACCAAAGATGTCCTTCTCTAAAGACCATACCTGGATTTCATCAGTCCACCAACTCAAGCCAAGGTGGTCGGGAGCTTGTCATTGTCCTGTGGGAGGTACACTTTATTTTTCAGCCCTTCTCCCCAACACGTCCCCCTTTCAGTGTTTATTAGGGTCAGAAATACTGCCAGGGAATGCCATCTCTCCTGCAGGTGGTGGGAGGTTGGAGCTCATCTTCCTGAAGGACCTCAAAGCTGAAAGTGAGGTATAGCACCCCTGCCCTGTAAAGGTCAGCAGATCAAGGTGGCCCCACTCCCTGTCCCTGTACCCCCTAGCTAACTTCAAAATTTGAGCCATACCTCCTGTGGCTCCCCATCTTACTTAAGATCTGGGGACCCCGCGTGCATGTGCCCAATGCTCACCCCTGCACACACACACTTGTGCCCAGTGTATGTGGCCCGGCATTTGCCTTGGCTTCAGCCAGCAACCCCACCCCCAGCTGGGGCCCCCTCCCTCACCCTCCACTGCATTATCTTCAAGAGCAGGCCGACGTCTTCATCCAGGTCACTGCACACAAGGTTGTGATGTCCTCGGCCTGGCAGGAGCCGGCCCTCTGGGAGAACCTTCCTCAATGGCTGACAGCTAGCCTGTGGCCTGCCCAGACCCTTGGGGACACCTGCCCTGATGAACTTGCCCCTGACTGTTCTGTCTTAGCATCTGGCTGGCTGGCAGGGTGACAGCTACCTACTAGCCACAAGGCCTACAGCACATTTTCTCCTCTCCAAGGTGGACCCAGTACCCACGGTGCCTAGCGGCGGGAATCCCGCTCTCAGCTCCTGCCGGCTCCTCTGCAACCTTAGAGGCACACCTTAGGGGTCACCCAGTGTCCTCTTCCTGGCAGCAGACGCAAGGCTTGATTGATAACAGTGCCTTCTGAAGTCCTCTCCAACCTGCTACCCACAGCCCCTCCGGAGACTGGCAGGTCTGAGGTCAAAGTCGGTGCTTGTCCTGTGGTCTCCAACATCAGCCGCCATCTGTGAGCTTAAGGGACACAGGCTCTTCAGGGGAAAGCCCCGTCTCTGCACAGGGCGGGTATTTTTAATGCCTTGCTCTCGCTGCAAGTGCCCATTCACTTCACAAAACCCGGCTTGAGAGCTTCATTTCCCTTCTCGTCAGTCCCCTGGCTCTGCACCAGGCCGCCCCGTGTCAGGCTCTCGGCGGCACGGCCTGGGCAGCGCGGTGCTCATGCTCCTCCTTGTACTGTGCGTTGGTGGAGTCTTCCTCATTTTCCCCTGCCCCTCTGGCCTGCACCGGACCTGGCTTATGGCAGTTAATTAACTAAGTTCTGGAAGGTTCTGACGGCACAGTATTTGCAGAAGGGCTGGACCAGGCCTTCTAGGTCAGCAGCTCTCTAGGTCAAGCAGGTGCTGGAGATCGGTGGAGATGCTGGAGAACGCAGCCCCTCCCCCCATGTACACGGGTCAGGGACACAGCATTGCTCTAGCGCAGGCAGGAGCCTCGGATCCTAGGTCAGAGGCTGGAGGGCCTCTATTACCTGCACGTTCCCTCTCACATCCGGGTTCTGCTCTCTTCGGGCACGAGGGGAAGGCTCGCGAGTGACAAGTGGGTCGCACACCAGGCAGACAGGGCTGCCATGCCAGACACCAGTACTGGCACTGAACTGGGCTTCCCGCCTCCGAAAGGACAGGAAGCAGGATGCTCCTGGTAGGACCCTTTTAAAGACTAAGTAAGATCCACAGGGCCTGGCCAGCACCTGCCAGGACGGCAGAAACTGCCCACGGCAGTCTTTTCCTCCTCTCCTAGCCCCAGGCCTCCACTGCGTTTCTCCAGAGGACAAGTGACCCTGCCATACAGAAAACAGGTGACCTTTGCTACTGATGCTTTTTCCAGGGTGAAGTTTTTCCTGCTGCAGCTCCAGGCCAGGAAATAGCCTCTAGGGGCTGCCAGGGTCCCCACAGCTGTGGTCTCCTGCTAGGGGGCGCTGTTTCTGCAGGGAAGGGATGTGGGGGGCGGATTTATCTCTGGGGTGCTCCAGTACCCTCTTTACACCCTGAAGTTTCATGCACTTGTTACACTGTCTCCAACCTGGGGTAGCCTTAGCCAACCTGTCCTGCACTCTTGGGGTTCTGAAACACTCCCCCACTCCTCTCCCTCTCTCCTCAGCCTCTGAGGCAGGAGCAGCAGGTTTTTAACTGATCTCTGCTGAGAAGGTCCCATCTCCTCACCTCACAGGCTGAGGCTACTGTCACCTCTCCACAGGCCCATACCTCCTTCAGTGTCCTCCTTGTCCTGTGAAAGCTGCCTGTGACACCCATGTCGTCAGCCCAATCTAGATGAAAGCTGCTTTGATTTTTATTTTTTTCATTTTATTTCATGTGCATTCATGTTTTGCCTGCATGTATGTCTGCGTGAAGGTGTTGGATCTTCTGAAACTGGAGTTCCAGGCAGTTAAGAGCTGCCGTGTGGGTGCCAGGAATTGAACCCAGGTCCTCTGGAAGAGCAGCCAGTGCTCTTAACCTCTGAGCCATCTCTCCAGCCCATTTTAACTATAGCTAGCACCATGGCAAGTTCAAAACTAGCAGGTAGCTGCCCACTCCACCCCTCCGCGAACGTTAGCTCTGTTTTTCCCATCCTCAGCCTTGCCAGGGCTCCTCTCCTGACTCAAGGACTACAGATCTTCTGCATCCTCCCTGGCCGTGACCCTACCCCTGCAGCCTCCCCACTTCCCCTCTGAACGCCCTCTGGCCATACCTGGACCCTTCTGCCCCCGCCCAGCCCCAGGCCTCTTAGGGCTGATAAAGGTCAAGAGAACACAGAATTCCACAACTCCAGTGGAAGCAGCTTCGGCTTTGTATTTTAATAATTTAAGTCTGACACCTGCCCGTGCATCTAGACCTGAACCCTCGGGCAGGCTCTAAGCTGAGCAGGCTGTGCCTAGGTGGGATGGCCAACCCAGTACACAGCCTCCCTGGCTGCTGCCCACCCACAGCTGCCACCAGGGAGGTCTGGACAGGAATCCTGCAGCTGGGGGACAGCCAGACACCAGCTGCAGCCCTGTCTCCGAGCTGGACAAGAGAACAAAGACCAGCCCCCCCTCCCCCCACCCCCGCCCCCAGGCCAGGCTAGGCTGCAACAACCGGTCTAGGCAGGGGTGGAGGCAAAGGGCTGGCTGGGCCGGCCTCCACTTCTGCACCCTTAGTACCACGGCCACACTTACTGAAAACAATGGCAGTGGTTTCGTTTTTTTGTTTTTTTGTTTTTTTTCCAACTTTGTGTTGATCAGAAAAACTTCCTAGAAATTCTTAACATTCTGGCTCCCAGAACCTCTCAGATGTTTACATACCCAGAAGGGGCTCAGAACTCTTAACAGGCCATCCTTCCCAGGGCTTGGTTTGGAATGTGCGCTCTTGGCTGTCTGCTGTACCAAGACACTGAACCCCCTCTGGATCAGGAGCAAAGGTGTAGTAGTCACATGGAAACCAGGCAAGCCACAGCTGAAAGAGACGGGCACAAGGCCAATGTGGCCACTTTGTCTCTGGTGTGCCGGGGGCTGGGGAGGCTTTTCAGTGAGTGTGACCAGGAGGTGAGGCCCAGCTCTCAGGGGACCAACCCAAGGATATAGTCAGTCACTCTCCTCTCCTTCCAACAAAGGGACACATCCTACCACTTCTGTCACGGAAGAAGACCATTATTTTCTTTCCCCAGATCTGCATAAATTAGTGGCCTTAACTGAAACATACACACAGGTTCTTCGTCTCTTCCTGCAGGTGCTGATCAGAACAGCTCTGCTACAACCTGATCTGTGAACCGTACTTTCCATCCACAAATTATCTCTGAATGGCGCATTTCCAGCCCCTTCTTCCCTGTGGGGTCAGGGCTTCTCAGGGAGTGTCGATGAGAGGAACAGTACTCCTGGGTCACTGGGGAACAGGCCTCTGTCTCAAGACACGAATTGACAAGCTCTCCACATGAGCCAGTAGCTCCTTGATGTGAGCCAAGCCCAGCCCAGCAACCTTGGCCCCGTTCACCTCCAGGATCTCATCCCCCACCCCAAGCAGCCCCGAGTACAGCTTGGCAGTATCCAGGTCAGCCATGGCCTGCACGTAGAGCCCTGCAAAGGAGAAGAGGAGAGGAGGTGAGAACTCACAGAGGGCAAAGTGACACACGCCCCTCACCACCGCCTGCATGGAAACATGTCATGTGGCCCTCTTCCCCGCCTCCCCAAGCATAACCTCATTCTCTGTAGCCTCTTTCCAAAGAGGAAAATCCATGCAAATGATGCTTAAAGACATCATTCATCTACAGTTAGTAAGACTAGACTGATCTTACCCTTTCTGATACTCAGCTTTTAGGGTAAAGAGGAGGTCCTCTTGACAATGAAGACCATCACATGCTGTATACCCTGCCTGTGTTGCTCAGGACTCATAAATAGATGGCCAAGGTGGGGGACAGTGTCACCAGAGTAATGGAAGTGGCTGAGAGCAAATCTGCTTCACAGTACTGTCCGGGGCTCGCCCTGGCCTCAGCCTCACTCACACAGTTCCTCGCTTGGGATTTCGGGCATCTGGGCCAAAGTCCAGGAGAAACAAACATTCTGCCCACAGTCATGGCTCACTCGCCTCTTTTTCTTGTACCCTTCCATCTCTACCACTCCAAGAGGCTCAGCCTGGCCAGCAGGATCATTCCTTGGGTTGTGAAATGTACAGATCAAGCCTATCGGGGACTTGTGGCTGGCTCTCAGGGAACCCATGTTGTGGGAGAGGCTGTGGGGGCTTAGGCTGACAAGGCAGGCCTCCAGGCGCGGCTCCCACAGCAGAGGAGTGTCTAGCTGAGACGCAGACATCTCTCAAGTTCTCTGTCAGCTGTCCCCATCAGTCAGGGTACACAGGCCAGTTCCTCTGGAGAAAGCTGGAGCCCACTACCATGTTGTGCTGTGTGAGCATAGACCCCGGCTGGAGGACAGCAGGGGACAGCCTTTGTGGGTGACTTTCCTGCAGCTCACAGTACAATGGGATTTGGGCCCAGCTGAGCACAGTCCTGACCCCTTCACCAGCTGGCTGTGAAACACAGCAACTGCCCACATGATAGCTTCTCCATGGCCCTTCCCTAGTCAGCTGCTTAGCACGAGCTAGGCAGGATGTCTGTTCTGGTGCCCCCATCTCCGGCTTGGAGCATCGTGGACTATGGAAAGTGGTACCTTAGCCCATAGACCAGAAAGAGCCCCTTCACTGAAGTCTCTGGGCCCCAGAGAGGCCAGGCTCTGAATACGGACTCTACAGCTCCTTCACCAAAGCACCTGAAAGTTTGTGGCCGTTGGCTGATCTGAGCTGCATGCACACTTCCTCTCCTGTCCCTTTCTGTGAGCCTTTCCAGTGAGGCTCGGTCTCTAAATGACCCAGTGTGTACCATCCTTTGGCAGATGGCTTTTCCACTGGGGCCCTGCCCTCCCCTTGATCTCCTTCCTCTGATGCCTGAACAGCTTATCTGCTGGGTCTACACACTGTCAGCATGGAGAGAGGGGGCCGCCCCTGCCTCCCCACATGAACCCACACGAGTGTTTGGTGTGCAGGAGGAGAGGCAGGTGGGGGGGTGGGGATGACAAAACCCAAAAGAATGTAGCCAACCCAGACCAGACACTGACGTCACTCCAGCCATTTTGGGGAGGCTTGGGGAGGCTTCCCAGCTGAAATCGTGACTGCGAGGCAACTCTGGCATTTATGGTCTGCTGGAGACAGCCTTTGTTAAGGATGTTAGATGCCTGTTGTAGCCAGTTAGAAGCAGAAGGCAGGGCCTGCTGTTCCCGTGGGTGTGGTGTCAAATGGGACACATGCTGGCATCCTGACTGATGCTTAGCAAGGAGCCAGAGCAGCCTCCAGCCATGGCTTCTCTGAGGTTCAGGGGAAGTGGCCCTCCGCAGCTAGAGGAGAGCCCATGGTGGAAACAGCAGCAGTCACCACACTCAGGGCCAAATACAGCCGCAAGAGTGGGACACCACCTGGACAGGACCATCCAAGTAAGGGACACAGAGACAGCCTGGATGGCACTGTCTGGTCCCCAAATGTCAGTTCCCTGTGTGCACTGACATCCGATCCTCCTTAGGTCCAGCCTGGGGGAGGCCCACCCCGTCCGTCCGTTCCCATTTCCAATCTCTCTCTCTCTCTCTCCCATCAAGAAGTTCAGGTCACACTAACTGTAAATCAGGCAGATTCAAGCCCCTGCTAACCTCCTCCACAGCCACCACAGTGCCACCTGATACTGTCTGTCTCCTGGACTGTGGAAATCAGTTTAGTGCCCATCCTCGTCTCATTGTGTATTCTCAACACAGCTGCTATCACCCCTCTGCTCTAAAACCTCTCCCAGTAGGTGGTTCCGGTCCTTCTCAGTGAGGACAGCACAGCCTGCAGCCTCTGGGCTCAGCTCTAGCCTGACCTCGTTTCCTAACAAACTCCATGGGCCCTTTAGGACTTTTGTACTTGAATCTCATCTCTCGACTCCAGAGGGCTCCCCCCTTCTCCTGTCCATCTCCACTGCCGCCATCTCACGCCACGCTACACAGCGCCTGCCATGCACATGTGCTTCCTGGTGCTTTTCACTATGTCACATTCTTCATACAGAAAACATGAAGGAAGCGCGTAGAGCTGGCCCAGCACCCTAGCTGGAGAGCATGCTCGTGAGGTCAGAGGTCTGTGTGCTCCATGTGGTGCTGTAACCCCAGGATCCACAGTACTTATGAGTAGGCACCTGAATATATATATATTCCTGAAAGATGCTGAGTGATGAACAAGAGGACAGGTGTAAGAACACGTGCTGTGTGCACACTCAGCAGAAGGAGGGCTTTCTCAGGTAACCAGCCTTGACCTAAGAGACACAAGAGCAGGACTAGCCCTCCTCAGCAGGGTCCAGGAGCACAAGCCCCTGGCTTTTCCAAAGTCACCCCTCCCCCCGCTTCCGCTGCCTGCCGTCAGCATACCTCCCCACCTTCCCCACTTAGCGTAGCCTGTGGATAGCTTTCAGGGTCTCTTGTACTCAAATGCATTCTGGACCACAGGCTTTGGCCTGGGCAAGTCAGGTTGCCACCCACGGAGGACTCGTGGATGTAGAGGGACCAAGAACTGGTCAGCATTCAGTGACAGTAGGATTGAATTAGGACACAGCAGGCAGCCTGGCCAGGTGCCTGCAGCCGGGATCCATCTGAACAAAGCCCTCAAGGAGCTGGTGAGGGAGGGCTGTGGACAGGATTGCAGACAGGCAGGCCCACTCCACATGCCCAGACACACCAGCAGCTGGAGGACGGGAACCGTTGAAATACATCAACCACATCAAAGGAATAGCCGAGAACTGGCAAGCACAGACAGTTTTCCTTTGCCTCTCTGGAAAAGCCTTGAGGACTCTGATTTCAAGATGTCACAGGACGGCAGGGGGACAGTCAAGTCTGCCAGTTCAACCCCCACAGCAGTAGGGGCCCCTGAGACCTGACATCCAGTCAGAGCTTCTGAAGGGACGAAGGGAGCCTTTCTCCACTGCTCAGCCAAAGCCTAGAAGGAACCTGGCCACACCCTGGGCACTTTGCCGAGGATCCCAAGGGCATACCTGAATCCCGACGGCCATTGCCGTAGGCCACACGGAAACCAAAGGTGCCCTCTGGGGGTCGTTGGAGCTGCAGCTGACTCGTGCCGTCTGGGAACACCTCCACCACACGGCCCACGGTGCGAGCCAGGCTAGGGGCACCCACGTCTTCCACACTGAGGGCATGATGGGGAAAGGCCTTGGCCGGCCTACAAGGAGACGAAAGACAGTAACGGTAAGGTCAGGCACCGGGGCGGCTCTTTGTTGGCCCTACAGGGACTGCACCTCTGACGTAGGAACCTGACTCTAGAGGTTGGGGCTTCCCTGACCCCGGCAAAATGAGCTCCCTAGGGTGGAGACAGGCACTTTCCACATGTGCTGCTCCTCAGGGCAAAGGGTTGAAACAAGGACTGTGGTTTCTAACATTTTCAGGAGGATGTGTCAGAGAATTAGAGGGAAGCTATAATTTTACACAGTGTTTTCAAGAGTTAGCCCACCCTCCCCAGCCCACAGTCCTTCCATGAAGCCCTGGGTGAAAGCTGAAAGGCAAGAGGACCTGGGCAGAGAGGTCAGGAACCAAGGGCCTCTTTCCTTTGGGGCTCTTGTCTCTGGGAGTTTAGAAGGATCTTTAGCTGCATTTCAAGAAACTGCACATTGACTTCAGGGTGTCACTGGACAGCCACGGGAGAGAGGCGTCAAGCTTCCCAGCAGCACCTTCCTGCAAACCTACACCTCTCAATGCTCACCCGCACAAGGCGAGGGCACCGAGGTGTCATTCTGAGACCTTAGCATCACTTCGGCTCTCTACACCCTGCCTCACTTCTCTTAAAGGGGCAGCCTGGCTCATGGCTGTGGTTCTGAGGGAAGAGAGGACTAAGTGTCTAGTTCCATGGGCCACTCTGACTTTGTCCTACAGGTCCTTGCGCCACACTCACCTGCTCGGTGTACTGGGGTCCCCTGACCCCTCCACCAGGTAGAGGCTGGACCGGTCTCCCTTGCCACCTAGCAGAGAATGGAGGTTCTGAAAGGAAGTTGCTTTCCGATGCTGGTGAGAGGGTGACACCTAGTGGGCAAGGGCCAATATTGCAGGTGAGAAAAGCGGCCTGGGAAAGGGTCAGCAACAGAGGATTTGCCAGGACCCCAAACCTGAAGCCACTCTGAGAAAGCATTGGTACGCGCTTTGGTCAGCACATCTGGATGCCTAGCAAGAGTCAGCAGAACAAGAGATGGGACTACACAGGCTCCAAAGCAGTAACTTAGCATTAGGCTAGCACTTTCTCACTATGAGAATCTACCCAGCACTCAGAGGCTGTGGCAGGAGGATCATGAGCTTAAGTCACATAGGAGACCTTGTCGAAAGGAAAGGGCCTGGGGGTGTGGCATACTTGATATAACACATCTTAGAGCAGAATGCTTCCAGCTGGGAGTGGGGGTGATTCTGGTACCCTGATAGCTCCAGGAGCTTGTAACCAGTTCCTTGAGTAGAGACATTCTGGTCCAGAAGGTATGGGGACAGAGGAGGAAGGAGCTGGTTCTTGAGTGAGGCTGTGAGCAGAGCTCTCCAGTTGAAAAGAGGGCACAGGTGCCCAAGCCAAAAAAAGACAGGATGAGAGGACATGGGGACATGAGAGAGGACATGGGGACATGGGAGAGGACATGGGGACATGGGAGAGGACATGGGGACATAAGAGAGGACATGGGGACGTGGGAGAGGGCCTGGTATGTGCTGGCGTGTGTTTGGTGAGGACGGATGCTCAGGCATTTGCACTTCTGGAAGAGACTGGTTCTTTCGGCTTCTTGAATTTTTCTTTTTCAGTTTTTTTGTTTGTTTTTGTTTTTTTGTTTTTGTTTTTGTTTTTCAAGACAGGGTTTCTCTGTGTAGCTTTGAGCCTTTCCTGGATCTCACTCTGTAGACCAGGCTGGCCTCGAACTCACAAAGATCTGCCTGCCTCTGCCTCCCGAGTGCTGGGATTAAAGGTGTGCGCCACCACCGCCCAGCTCTTTTTCAGTTTTTGAGTTTCTGTGCCATCCTTCCTGCCTGTCCCATCCTCTCTCACTTAGCCAGGCTGCTCTCCCCCTTCAGCCACTCAGCTTGCACTGCAGCCGGACCTCTGAGACACAGTGGCGTTGTTATTTCCCTTGAGGGGTTTCTGAAGAGAGAAACTCCAATGGCAATAAATGCAGGTGCCACAGCCCGTGGCTTGCAGCTCACGCCGGAGAAGTTGAGCTGGAGGCAGCTTCCAGGGTGCGCTTCCTCCCTTCTCGGCTCACCCTCCACTTCTTCTCCCCATCGCTACTCATCCAGCCAGCGGACCTCCACCCCTAGATACTGTCCTGACAAAAGCAGTCCATGAACTGCCATTCACCCTGCATTCTCCCCCTCCTCGGCCTTTGAAATGAAAGGCTCCCGTGCCATAGACCACGGCTCTCCTCCTTACTCTGCAGAGGAGGAGGTCAAGGGCAGAATAAACAGAATACCTACAAGCTCCTAGTACAGAGCAGGATTCCTGGTTGGGGCTCGTGTGCTGAGGGGATTTGCTAAGTACATGGAGAGGGAGATGCTTAGCTGGTGCCTTGTGTTCAATGTGAGCTGGATACACTAGACTAAATCCTGAGATACGTGTTGGGAATATAGACACCATACCCCAGGATGAGGAGAGAGACATGGAGGAGGGAAGCCCGGGCGGGAGGGCAGGGAGGGCAGGGAGCAGACGGCCCCTCGGCCTGTGGACTGTGATGACTTCCAAGAGAGACATGTCTGGAGTACTGAGGAAATAGCAGGTGTCAGCAGGGGAGACACACTGTGATCTGACTGTAGAGGGGAGAAAGGGTCTCCCCAGCGGAGGCTGAGAGTGTTCTGGAAGGGATGAGACAGAAAAGCAGACAGACCACAGAGCCTCTCACTGCACTAAGTGGTCTCAACTTTATCCCGAACATGATAAATGGACTGAAATGGATTCACTTGGGCGAGGGGCAGTTGGTACGGCCAGGTTCATGCATCCTCTGGAAGCCACATGAAGACCGGAACGGACAGGCCAGTCAAGTCTTAGTGTGCCAATACAGACTAAAATTAACTGTGTTTGCGAGCTGGAGAGGCGCCTCAGTGATTTTAAAAGCACTGGCTGCTCTGCCGGAGGACCCAGGATCAATCTCTAGCACCCACATGGCAGCTCATAACTGTTGACAACCCCAGTCCTGGGGACCTGATGCCCTCTTCTGGTTTCTGTGGGTACCAGGCATGCACATGGTGCACATACATACATGCAGGCAAAACACACACAGAAAATAATTTTTAAAAAAAGCAAGAAGAAATTGCGTTTGGACTAAAGGAGTCACTGTGGCCAAGGAGAAGTTTAAAGAAACCAGGCCATGAACTCTCCAGGAAGCAGACACAACAAATTCACGGGAGAGGGAGAAAGAGCACAGTGGGTGGCAGGTAGAAACCAGTTTTGAGAGGTGCTGCACACACAGCGGACACAGTCCTATGGGTCGGCCGTGAAGACACCAGCAGGTCCCCACTTTTGTGAGTTGGACAGGCAAGGACCCTTCATTCCAACAGATCACACTCCTGGGACCACACCCTACTGTCCAGGGCCCTGGGGACTCACCAGATGCAGGATTTGTAATGATGGGGCTCTCTTCACTTTGGAGGTACTGGTATGGGGAGCTGAGGGCTGCAGCTGTTCCACACTGTAGCTTCGGGATGTGCCAAGTCTGGGCCGGGGGGTGTGGCCCAGGGCCGAGAAGAGCTTTTTGAGCCCCAGGGTGGAGGTGATACTACTCCTTCTTTTCTTGTTCACATCAGAATGGGCAGATGAGGGTGGCTTGTGCCCTGCACTGGCCTCAGGCGATACTCTGAAACACAAGGGGGGCATAATGTGGATGGAGATGGCTGAGAGGCTGGCAAGAGCTGGCTGCATCCTGCATCCTAGGGCCCCACGGGTCCCAGATGGACCAGTGCCGATGTCCCCAGGGAGGAACTATCAGGCTGTAGCAAGGGGAGCCATGCAGACTCTGCCAGGTGCTGAGTGAAAGCAGCTTCTGGAGAGTCCAGGATAGCCCCTGCCATAGCACGCAGCCAGGAGTCCAGGATAGCCCCTGCCATAGCACATAGCCATGAGTCCAGGATAGCCCCTGCCATAGCACACAGCCATGAGTCCAGGAAAGCCCTGCTATAGCACACAGCCATGGATTCACAATTCACTCCACTCATTCGGGAAGTCTCACCAGTCTCCTACATGGCCTCAGCTAAGGGCGTATAGAAACTTATCAACGACAGAAATACATGAAGGAGAAAAGCCATTCACAGTGGTGTGTGGGGCAAAGCAGAGTGCGGCCAGGCACTTGTTTTAAGTTGTTTCCAGAGAGGGCTCTTTGGGAAGAAGACAATCTTTCTACCAAGGGCCAAGGAGAGGCAGGAGTCAGGCCATTATTAATCCTGGAAGTGAGCGCTGCAGGCGCGGAGTGGCTGGGGCCTCTGCCCGAGCAGAGAGAAGTCTGATGTGCTCAGCCACAGCAGCCAGGGAGTGAGAAGGGCAGGAAGGGGTGTGAGATGAGGCAGGCAGGCCCGTCACACTGCCGAGCGCTGTCAACCTCAGGAAGAGGAGGACAAGAGAGACTGCTGTGGGGCTTTAAGTAGGACAATGATTCCATTTAATTGGGTTTTTAAAAACTATTCCCTCGTGCAGCTAAGAAGCGAAGGCAGCTTAGAGCAGATGGTAGACAGAGGGGTTGGGGGCTGGAGGGGGTTGCCAGAGGGTGGAAGTGGGGGAGCAGAAGGAAGTGCATGAAGGGTTTAAGCACTGTGTGGATAGCAGCATGGCGGCCAGGAAGGGGGTGGGGGGAAGCTACTGTTGAGTTTTTGTTGAAGGGACAGCTCGACACCTGGGAGAGATGTCCCCGAGAAACCGGCCAGACAGACCTTGCATCTGGCAAACACCCAGGCCTGGCTGGGTCCTAGGGAGGCTGTGGGCTGCCATGTGTCCACAGACACAGGACGGAGCAGGGAAGTCCCAGGCTTTGAACACCAAGGCTTTGAACTCGGCCCGAGGGGGTCCCCAGGCAAGGTCTCAGATGTCTAACCCCAGCTGAAGCAAAGAAGGAAAACAGTTTGCATCCTAGAAGCACCCTGAGGCCTGTGGCTCTCAGCTGCAGCGTCAGCAGCTGGGGGCTCAAGGGTGGGCAGAAAACTCAGACAGAAAGAACTGGGGGAGGCGGGGGCTGGGAGCAGACAAAGTGCTTAGCACGCAAACCTGAGGACCCGAGTTCAGATCCCTGGCACCCATTTAAAAGCCGGGCACATGGCAGAGCACGTTTATAACCCGTTCTGGGGAGCGAGAGACAAGGGGGTCCCTGGGGTTCAAAAAACAAGGTGCAGAGCAACTAAGTAAGACACTCAGAGTCAACATCTGGCCTGTGCACACACACATGTTCACACACACACATGAACACATACGTACCAGAGAGAGAGAGAGAGAGAGAGAAAGGATTGGGAAGGGTGTGTTAGGGTGCCAGGACATGGTTTAGGAACCCTCCAGGGTTTGGGAGAGAGGAAGGCTAGAGATGTCACTCCTCCAGGTGGTATTTCCCCACCCAACACGCCCACTGTAGTCAGGGTATGTTCTTGCCACTCACCCAATGGGCATGTGGCCTCCAGAGCTGGATTCTGTCCTGTGTAGGGCTCCTCCCAGCTCCAGGCTGCACTCGGGCTCCTCTGAGGTGAGGGAGAGGGTGACGCCGGCTGTAGAAGTGACAATGGTAACATCTGCTGACTGGAGAGAGTCCCGGAGTATTCCTGTAACAGCTCGGCACCCCCACTGCTGCACTGACCATCCCCACAGGTCCCAGTGGGGAAAGGCCCATTCCCCAGTCTTCGGGACAGGAGACACAGGAGACGCGGGGGAGAGCTGGGAGCAGAGGCAGTCAGTGAAGGTGGCCAGGGCCCATCCTTGAGCACCTTCTAAACCGGAAATGGTTTGAGGACAAGGGTGGGCTCTTACGGACTACTGTGACCCTATCACCCAGCGGAGCACCTGGTGCACGGTGGGTGACTAGTAAGCATTTGTTAAGTGACGGGTCATCGGTGCTATGTCCCGCCCCTTCCATGTCAAGGGACAGAGTCAAAGCAGGGGAAACAAATCTAGAAGGGTCACAGCGTTTTCAGCAGCTTCCATCTTGGGAGCACTGTGTGCACTCAGTGATGCTGGGCCCTTCACAGACTCGACGGTGGTCATGACACAGGCTGTATTTTAACCCTCACTCTCTGGATAAGAAAAAACCTGAGCATGGAGAGAGGAAGCCGTTGCTCAGGGGTCCTGTCTCTAATAAGAGGATCCTCACCATGCTTTCAAGGAAGTGCAGAACCAGGCTTCCCAGAAACATCACTAGGTCTCAGAAACCCTGCAGGAAGTGGCTAGGTGCAAGCCCGCCACAGACCCACATGGCCACAGTCCGCTTTAAAGGCAGAGATCCTGCTTACATCATTTTCTTATGCATTCCCCACAGTGTCCAGGGCAGGTTCAAGCGTGTACCAGGTAGGTGTCTGGTCAACAGTGAACGAAAGAGCGCAAGGCACAAAAGGAAGATGGAGGAAGAGGCAGGGTGATCATGGACTAGCTAGTGTTCTAAGCAGTAGTGGATTCTGGGGCTGCTGACTTGTTTTTCATACTCTACAGGAGTCAAACTCCCACAAACCCTGGTCTCCAGCAGCTCTGGACTGGAGTTCCCCTACACACCTCAGACTCCTCAGCAATAAGAGGGCACCATCCCCACCTTGCCCACGGGCTGAGCCCTGGTTCCCCATCCTCCAAGCACAGAAAATTGGCTAACTTGCTCCATGCTTATACTAAATCCTGCGCCTGGCCCACACTCCCTCCCCACTTCCTGGACACCTGCTGCTGATCCCAGGGATCCACAGGGATGCTGGGAGTGGTGTGTGGCCTTATCATACAGTGACTAAGATGGAGAGCAGAATGAGTGCGACAGACCTGGCCTGGGCTGAACATGAAGGACGGCAATCCTTACCATCTCCGTCACTCTCCAGGGGCAGTCCGGGCTCCTGGCAGCTGTGGTCCTTGCCAGCTCTGTGCTTGCGGACAGCGGCTCCCCGAGGCTCCTGCAGCCCCAGAGAGACACTGCTGTTGGAGTTGCTGGTGGACAGGTCCAGCAGTGGATGCTTGACACGGGGGCTGTAGGGCTGGGTCTGGGGTGGGGTGGGAACCGAAGTTCTCGGAGGAGACAGAGGCAGGGGGATATCCACATGCTCCACCTGATGTTCCGGCCTGTGATGTCCAGTCCAGGCTGACTTTCTCGGAGGCATCGGGCAGAGGGATTTCTTTGAAGAGGGAGAGGTCGGCACCCAGCCTTCAAGGGAGAGGGGCAAAGTTGGTCGCAGGGCTGGGTGAGGTGCAGAGGGCTCTTCATGGCTCTGTTGGCGGGAAGAACTGCACACGGTTTCCAGCAACTCATGGCTTTCAGTAACTTGCTCTGGTTGGTCTGAGCCTGAGGACCCAAGCTTCTTGGAAAACGACACAGCATAAGCTGTCGTGCATGGAGTCCAGGAGTCCTCAGGGTGGGCCCAGTGATTTCCTAACCGTGGTCCAAGCTGCCCCTGGGACCAAGGCCTCTTAGGTTCCAAGGCAGGTTCAGGCGCAGCATCCTCCTTTATAAACAAAGTCCCCTGGGGTATGTGTCTTGTGGCTCCTTTTACCTCCCCTCCTACAACCACATCACCAACCTCATGTAGGTGAGACCAGGCCTGAAGGCCCCAGGGCAGCTCCACCTCAGCCTTTCGGGACCACCTGGGGCCTTCCTGAGGTCTAGAGCCCTGCTGCCACTGTCCCGGGCTGCTGCCTTGGGTCTGACCGCCTGCCCTGCTGGGCCGAGAGGTCCTGGCATCCTGACTGTCTGTCCAGCTGTCTGAACTGTTGGTGCTGGCCAGGGCAGAGTCCCTCTCCTCAGGGTGTGTGGCAACAGTGTCTGTGATGTGTGTTTCCCGGATCCATTCTGTGTGGAGCCCTGGGAATGAGGAGCTCACACTGTGGGAATTACAGGGCCCCGGCAGCAATGCCTCTGCCTCACAGGCTGCCTGGAGACCCTGAAGGACCCTTAGGTCAGGGGCTGCTCTCCCCTCTGCAGGGCAACGCTCCTCAAGACAGCTGCCACAGGCTGGACACTTCCTCTCATTGTCCCATGTAGACAGTGGTGCAGAGAAGTTACTGTGGTCCGGGGAGCCCACTGGCCTGTGGAATGAGATGTCCCCCATGTTACGGTGAATGTAGTTGGTTGGGTCAGGCTTAGAGCGCAGGGGTCCTTGGCCCACGGCATGAAGCACTGTGCGTAACACCTGACGCTGGCGCTGCTGGAGCCGTTCCAAGTACCGGAACTCAGCCTCGCGGGAAGACTCATCTTCAAAACGGACATGAGACAGGGGCATTCCCTGCTTGGGCCACTGCCCATTGCCAGACTCTACACTGGAGGAGTCACTCAGGTTCCCATTCTGGAGGCTCTCTCTGTCGGCAGAGGTGCTCCTGACATCCAGAGCTGGGCTTCTTGGGCCATTTCTAGTGAGGAGACAGGAGAGGGGTCACATGCAAGAAGGTGGTGAGGAAGAGAAGCATTGCTCTGGCCTAGGCCTCAACCACAAGGTTACCCCCAGTCAGGCTCCTGGGAAGTCATACAGCAAACCCCAAGCCCATCCTGCACATCCCGCAGGATGGACACACCCCAAGCCCATCCTAGTACACACTGCTCAACCAAACCGACACAACTTCCTTTACTTTTAACTTGCTTTCTGGTGCTGGGCTCAGTATGAGTTAACAAGAAAAGCTACTAAACTAGGGATGGTACAGAGGAAGACGGCAGAGCTTATATGTGCACTCCGTGTGTGTGCACACGTGTGTGTTTAGGGTGAGGAAGTAGCCTAACTTGGCAGTGATGAGTTGCAGAAACATGTACAGTCAGTCCTGTGTGAGTGGACCCCACATCTGGGGAGTCTAATCGCATCATAAGAATATTTGAAAATAAAACCCCATATCTACATTGAACATGTAGGGACTTCATTCTCCTTGTCGTCCCCTAAACATGACAATATGGCCACCGTTGTAAAGCACTGCCATCGCATTAAAGGTTGTAGGTAATCTAGGGATGGTGTAATGTGTACAGGAGGATATTTACCATTCATGGGCTCTGGTATCCAGGGGGATTCTAGAACCAAAAGTCTCCATGGGTACCCCGTGAGGCTGGAAGTCTGGGACTCAAGCATTCTTGACCTGATTTTCCCACCCAGGATTCCCCAGGCCTTGCGAGGACAGACTGCAGCAGATCAGCAGCTCCTGGTGCCATGCTTGGATAGCCCCGAAGCCGCGGTCCCCCGTCACACCTCGCACACCCCCATTTCAGATGTGCACTGCTATGTTAGAGAATCTTCGTGTCTTTTATTAGCTTTGGCTCTGGAAAACACTGGCTGGTGGCCAAATCCTGCTCAGATCCACACAAGCCTCATCTCAGGACTCCAGTAGTCAGCTAACAGAGTTATGCAAATGGGCCCAGGTCCAAGGCCCATGCTTCTTTCTTTTCCCTCTGGAGCCTTCCCCCACTGATTTACGGGCTGTCTTTGGGGCTGACCGAGTTTCTTCCACTCATCACTTTATTTCACTGAGCAGTGGCCTCTCAGCCGGTTTCCTTCCCACCCCATGACTTGGTTTCTCACAGGTCACAGCTGGCTCACATCACATTACCCAGCAAAGGGCACAGGGACAGCCTCTGGGGTAAGCATACGGGACCTCCATCTCTTCCTTCCTCCCTCCAGCTCTGACTCCCACCATTGAACAGTGTAACTCCAAAGGCCATACAATCACACGCCTAACTTCTGCCGGGATATTTAACTATGGACCTTTCTCGATGCCACACTCAAATCTGTCTCTTTGTGGCCACCTTTGTTTAATAACCTCCAATTTGCTTCACAAAGACTTATCCCAAAATTCTGTTCTACAGAGTAAGTCGAGAGCTTGGTTGTACCAGAGTGGAGATCTCTGAGAAGTCCTCAGATTGGAGAGAGTAGAATCTTCCATGGCTGGTAACATGATGGTTAATCTAATGTCAGCGTGGTAGGCCCCAGGACCTAAATACTTGGTCAAACGTTATTCTGGATGTTACGGCACAGGGCTTTTTTTTTTTTCTTTTTTTCTTTTTGGTTTTACGGGACAGGGTTTCCCTGTGTAGTTTTGGTGCCTGTCCTGGAACTCACTTGGTAGCCCAGGCTGGCCTCGAACTCACAGAGATCTGCCTGCCTCTGCCTCCCAAGTGGTGGGATTAAAGGCATGCGCCACCACCACCTGGCTTTTTTTTTTTTAAGACAAAATTAACAATTAAATTGACAAAGCAGATTACCTCCCAGTATGTGGTGGGCTTCATCTTATCAGTTCAAGGCCTGAGGAAAGCCAAGGCTGACTTCCCTGGAGCAAGAAGGGATTCTGTCTGCAGGCTGTCTTTGGAACTGAATTGGCTGCCCTGTCCTGCAGGTTCAGCATTTAACAGGCTTCTACCAGTTTGTGAGGCAACTCTGAAGTAACCTGTCCATACACAGACACATCTATTGGTTGTGCTTCTCTGGAGAACTCTGAATACATAAGCACCCTTTGAGGATGTGTCCCTGCCCTGAACACCTGGGCCACCCACTTCCTGTCACAGAGGGTGAGGGTTGGAAGGAGCCACTGAGCAACCGCAAATAAGTGCTACCTCATAGGCAGAAGTTCTAACCCCAGCACAGAGGTGGGACAGGCGGACAACGAGGTCTATACTACACAAGCATGGCTCGCTGGAGATTCTGGACCTGGCTTAGAACCTCTTCCACCTCCTGAGCTCAGTGCCCTGCTCTGCTGGAGGGAAATGGGCTAAGTCCTGGGAAGGAAAACAATGAATGTTTTCAGGGCAGTACAGTAATAGTCTGTGTTCCATGAGCTACAGCAGTGGCCTTACGTTTACACACAGATGGTGAACTGAGCCATCTTAGAATTCACTCCAAAGACAGAAATACTATTTTTATCTTACAAGAAAAAACAAAAGCTTGCTGATACATATCCCTAATCCTAGCACTCAAGAGGCTGAGGCAGGGGGATTCTGAGTTCAAAGAAGTCTAGACTACAGAATGAGATCCCATCTCAAAAACAAGGACTTGACGGATACGGTGGTGTACACCTTTAATTCTAGCACTTGGGGGGGTGGGGCAGAGACAGATGTACGTCTGTGGATTCAAGACCATCTTAGTCTACAAAGTGAGTACTAGGTCGGCTAGGACCACACAGTGAGACCCTGTCTCAAAAACAAAATAGAACAAAACAAAATCCCACAAAACCAAATTCATCATCATAATAAGCAGAATAAAGTAAGGAAGAGCTAATCATGTAAGAGTCTCCAGCGCACTTATTCAGACCACCAGGCCCCAGGCAGGAACACAGACAGCAGCCCAGGCAAGCAGGGGAGGCCTCGGCACACATGCACACGAGGCGAGGCGGCTAAGCCAGAAGCAAATCCCAGAGCTGCTTTGCCTTTCAAGGTGAGGCCCCTCAAGGGCAGGATTCCAGCCAAGCTCGGAGTCCCTGAAGTTGCACGGCCTTTGGGGAGGAGAGTCCCTTTCCACATCCTCACTTTCTATGACAGTGCTGTCCTAGGCACACAGTCCACGAGATGTTTGCAAGCTCTGCAGCCTCACACAGCCTCTGGTCACACAGGACACACCCTCCCAGGGTGCAGCCTGCTGACATGTCCTATGCTCTTGCGATTAAGAGTACCAACCTGAGTCTGCCTATTCCCCAAGTGGCAAAAGCCAGGAGCTGCTCGATTGCTATGTGGATTGACTTCCAGACAACACATCTGCCTCCACCTCTTCCCTCCTCGAAAAGGCCTTCATCCAGACTCACCTGGCCGCCTCCAGGTAGACCAAGGCTAAAGAGGGCCTTCTACAGATAGCTCTGCCTGCCCCTCCTCCTCCCTTATCTTTGGCCAAGCTGTTTTTCAGAAGGAGTGATAAGGCGGGGCTGGGGCGGGACCTCCTGCTTCTAGCTGAGGCCTGGGGCCTGTGTGGCATCACCGTGTTAGCTCTGCCTGCCCTCCAGGGTGATCTGATGGAGCGTAACCTTTCACAGCAGCTGCAGCAAGCCATCTGGTGTGGATTTTTCAGTTCTCCCCTCGGAGGATTCACCAGCGCTGCCAAGTCATAGTAATTCTTTTCTGGACACAGCAGCTGCTGAAGTAGGTCACCTTGCATTTTTACAGCCTTTTTATGACCAAGAAAGAGGAAACCTACTTTCCCATAGCTACTGGATGCGAAGACGAGGTACAGTGAACTAGAGAAGCAGGTGCCCAGGAGTACAAAGCACACCGAGGTCTGTTTTGCAGAGTTGTGTCTGTGTGCGTCTCAGCACTCGGGGGTAATTCCTACAGAACACTGGGCAGGGGTGCCTTGGCTGTCTGAGGCATCTCTCTGCATATTCGGAGAACAACTAGGGTACCTCAAAGAAGCCATGTCACTGCAGTGAGTACTCTGTAGTTAGGGGGAACTCAGGCATACACGTGGAATAAAAGAGTACCCTGATGGCACATTTTACTGAGATTTGGGGGGGGTCTCTTGTGACTCCCTCCTAAGGGTCACAAGGACATTGAACAAAGAGACCTCTGGCAATGGAGTCATGGCAGTGGTTCTGTAAATGTCCGGAGCCTTTAGTGAGCAGGCACAGCATCCCCCATCAAAGAGCACGCCATTCAGCTTTACTAAGAGTCCTCATTACCCCTAGTACCACATGGTGAGGAGGAAGACAAGCAAATCCAGTGCGCCCACCATACCCGTGAAGCCACAGGCCTTGTCATTTACAGAGGTGGGCCTGCTTGGGCCTGGCAAGATCTGGCATGGCCTGGCAGTTCAGAGCATGACTGTGTGCTGCATCTCTGTGTTGGAGAATTCCATGTGTAAGTAGCTCTTTAAGGTGTACCATAAAAGAACAAGCACGATGCTGGGGATAGACCTGTAGTTTGGGCAGTCACGTGACATGCTAGTCCAAGGGTTCCTGACTCTCTTTTTTTCAGTCTCCTCACCCTGGATGGGCACATTTCTTGCAGCTCCAGCATGATGAAGTCACCATAGTACCGACATCTCCAGTTCTGGCCTTACCTCTCACGATCCTGTATCTAGCTGTTCAGTGGGCATCTCCAGTGGCTGCTCTAGGAGTCTCCCCTCTAAAGCCTGACCCTGAACTTAGGCATCACCCTTTGCCTAGGGGACCATGAGCATGCTACTATAACCCTAACCCTGTTGAACCTACGTGACCACCTCTGTGGTCCCACACTAGTACAGGGGCTTATGAGCTATTGTTCAGCAGGCCTGGAGTTCCTCCATGGCTGGCCTCTACAAAGCTCTCTAGCCTCCATGCTATACTTGATAGATTTCTCTCTTCCAGGCTGGCTGTGCTCTGGAGCACAGTGCTCCCTCTCACAGCTCCCATCCCTTAGAATAGCACTCCTTCCTCCCTGCATCTGTCCAGTGAACAACATTTATAGCTCCTGTAAGCCCCATCCGGGAAGCCGCATCCTTTTGAGAGCTCACCTGTCCCTTCCAGGTGGAGCAATGTGCTGCCAGCTCTGCACACATGCTTTCTCCTCCACGATAACCCACAGAGCTGACGAGCCGTTTGGCCGTCTCTCTCCCTAGAGACTGTGAGCTCTATGCCCCCAGAGAGCTCAGGTCACATATTTCATTTATCTTTATATCTCAGCTTATGACACCTTGGGTAATGGTGTGTTGACTGACTAAATGATCACAGCAAGTGCCTGACACAGAAAACATATGGGCACACATACAGATATGGGGAGAGGGAGAGGGAGAGGAAGAGGGAGAGAGAGAGAGAGAGAGAGAGAGAGAGAGAGAGAGAGAGAGAGAGAGAAGAGAACAACAGCATTTGGGCTGTATCTGAACTATTTGAGCTATTGACCCTTCTCTGTCACAAGCCCTCTCCCAGGCCAGCCTGGCTTAGGCCCCACTCACCGGCTGCCCTGAGCAATGGTGGGCACAATGTCATGGCTGGCTCGGAGCGGTTGGGTCCTGGCCTTCATGCGAGCAGGCTGGGTCAGATGCTTGGTTCCCTCATACCTGGCACTCAGCACAGGCTCCAGCTTGGGGAGGAAGGTCCTGCAGGGTAGTACAGGCCTGGATGGTCAGCGCAGGGATTAGAAGAAAATAACACGGCTTAGGAGGCTTTAACGGCATCAAGCCCAGCCCTGCCAGGAAAAGCCTTGTATACACAGCCTTCCTTCTCCTTCTAACTCACACACAGGGATCCCTCCTCCCCACTCTCCCCTGCCAACCCCTGAGGCCTGGGAAACACCCTGAGCTCAGACAGGAGCTGGGGAGCCAACCTGACCTTAGACATCTGCTTGTGGAGGGGCGGGGGGGGGGGGGCGGTCTGGAAAAGGGGCAGGGGAGTCTGGCTGTCTTATTGTTCCTCTCTGGGCAGAAGCAGGAGATTTGGGGAAGAGGAAAAGGGAAGGTCCCAGGGTTATGGATCTGGGCCTGTGCCCAGACAGATGGTCTTTCCATGCATGGCCTCCCTGTCTCCTTCTGTCTCTCAACGCCCACACATGCACCCACTGGAACCCACACAGAACTGTACCCCTCTCCCACCACAGACACAGGGCCAAGGCACTGCCTGTCACAGCCTTGGTCCTTTGGGGGATAATGTTTCATAAATCCTGGCGTTTCCTTGTCATAGTCTCAATCCAGACCTGTCAGGAGTCAACTCAGGGATCACAGACTCAGGGCAGAGAGAAAACGAAGCTAGATTCAGAGCAAGTCAGCACATGGCTGATTTTCATAAGAATAAGGTCCTCTGGTGGCGAACCACCAGTCAGATGCACTGCCTCCCTCGTCAGTCCAGAGCTGCAGGAATGACAGGCACCTCTTTCCAAAGCTGTCTTCCAGACAGCGACATACCGCCTGTCCTGGGTTATGGAAGTAAGAACAGCCCACACTCCCCCATGACAAGACGGCTTTTCTCCACACAGCTCCCTTTCCACAGCCAGGCTGCCCAAGGGCAGGCATTCCGAGCTTGACAGATAAGGGTGTCTGGACTGGAGGGGAATATTGACATATTGTTCAAGGTCGAGCTGAGCAGAGGGATGCAGACGACAGCCAGCCTCAGTCTCTAGCCTCATTCCACATCCTGTCCTCTTCCTCCGTGGGCGCCAGGGTGAGCAAGGATGTCTGCGGCTGAGGTCAGGCAGACTTTGATGGAACTCTAGCATCACACTGTCACGTATGCTTGTCTCTGCTCAGGGCGGGTCCCCAGAAAGAGAACTCAGTCAAAGGCTCAGCAGGGCTTCGATCTCACACCTGGGGTACCCCCTAACTCCATGGGGAAAGGGCCTCACCCTGACCTCAAAAAGTACTAGAGAGTCTCCTGGCAGGAGGGGACAGGGGCTCCTCGGGCCACCCTTGAACTGGCTCTGAGGGGACGACAGTTCTTTGTTTTCTCCTTTGTCACGTGTTCTGAACACTGCTTTGGGCCAGAGGCGGGAAGGCTGCTAGCATAAAGAGACCGTCTGTGCCACGAGCTCTGGCAGGGCGAGGCCGGGCTTGGAAGGAGGGCTTCGTCAAAAGTACTTCTCCAGGCCTGCTGCCCCATGAGGCCTCCATTGGCAGCAGAGGCTCCCCTGACATGGCTTCCAGAGCAGGCAGCTCCCCAAACCGCAGCTGAGAGCAGCTGTGCTCCCGGGAGCTCCAGCTCCAACTGCAGAGATAACGAGATCGCCAGGCACAGAGGTTCCCCCGGCAGCCGCGGGCCTCTGGCTGCCAGCCTGCATGCTCACAGCCTTCCGGTGACAGCTGTGCTTCTGCGACTGTCGGAGGGCATTTGTCACCAGGCCTGGTGGGCAGGCAGGAGAGCCCCTCGGCAGCTGGCCGGATGCTGCCGCCATCAGCCTTGCCCCCAGGTTTCTAAGCCATTTCCAGCTTTGCTGTTTCCTTTCTGGAACAGCTGTCCGCCCCCCCCCACCCCACCCCCGGGCGCCCCCCCTTCATCAACTGCCCTGCTTCGGTCTGGCAGACAAAGCAAGTTTCTCTGCTGATTAGAAAGGCAGGCTTTCTGGCTGCCTGGAGGCATCTCCGCAGCAACACACCACGCAGGGAGGAGAGCGGCAGCCACCTTCACAGGCTGCAGCCAAGGTCAGCACAGCCAGGGCGCTCTTGTGTCCCCTGGAGATCGAGGCTCTGGCAGCCTGGGAGAGTGGGTGGTCTTTCTCTCCTAGGGGGAGGAGCAAGCAGGTCCCACCACGCCAGAGGCGGCCCTCCATTCCAGAAAGAAAGGGTCATCAGACTTGCACCTGAGGAAGACTTTTCTCATTTGATTCGACCAGAGAGAGGCCCGCAACGCCAGAGCCAATCCTTCCTATCATGAATTAAAACCCACAATCCCAGTTCTTCCAATTCCTTTGGAAATTTCCTGGCAAAGTCAGGCAGTGTGCAGCGAGGTACAGGCAATACAAACAAGCACATTTATCACCATCTTGAAGCCTGAGTTTCTGAGGCCCATTACCTCTGGGGGTGGGGAGTGGAAATAAGGTCGCTGAGTGCTTTTCCTCTAGGGTCTCAGTTTCCCAATCAGTAAGCATGAGCTTTTATAAAGGAGAGAGGGCTCATATTGTTATCCTGAGTCTGGGGCTTTGGCAAGGCAGGTTATGGTGGGGAGGGGGTCCTGAGCACCCACCTAGGGGGCATTTGGACCACAAGACAGGCTCTTGGGGAGTGGTGACCCAAAGAACTGCTTTTATTGGGGGAAGCTAGCGGTCCACAGGTGTGCTCAGGCCCTTGCCTCTAACCCTCACACCATCCTGGCGACAAACGGAGCCTGTGACCCTTGCCCTCTGCCAGGTTCTTGGAGTGGGACAAGTTTAGCACCCCTCCAGCTAAGCAGGTCAGGGGAGCCCTATCTCTCTCAAAGCCAGGGAAGCCAAGAGGAGAGGGACATTTCTTGGCAGCCATCCTAATCCTGGATTACAATGATGAACTCCAACAAGTCTGGAGTTAACCCCTTCATCTCAGGCACATGAATCAAGAAATCAGGAACAGACTTCAGGATGCAAACAGCGAAGGAAAAGCTTAGAGCATGCAGGGCATTTCCAAAGCCTTTGCTTAGCCACGCTCCATTTGTGTATAACCAAGGACAGAGGTCTTCACTGTTGCTTCTGAGGGAGGAGGAGGGGTGGGTCTGAACTGGCTGTAGAGCGTGGGTTTGTGAGGGCACACCCTTCTTCAGTCTGCAGGACACCCCCACAGGATGGAACCTAAAGAGGTGCTTTACAGTGTGCTTCCAGGCGGCTGGCCCAGATCCTCATCCTCGGACGGACGTCTCTTTCTAGCGGTATCACCTGGTGAGCGCATTGGGAGTGAGTCTGTTTCCTCACCTGCTAATAGGGGCTCCGCTGTTAAGATCTGTGAGAAATGTTCCCTTCAAGCACGGTGCCGCCGTTCCACCATGTTAGCATTTACTGCTGCTGCTTCTGTGATTAGCAGTGCTGTTACTTCCAACCCTCCACTCTGGGTGTGGGGGACCCTTGAACACGAACTAAGGCCCCCTGGTCATGAGATTACCCTGCTGTTGGCCAGGAGAAGGCCTGTTTGGAGGTGACCATCAGCATGCAATGTGAGAGGGCAAACTGGCTTTGCTCTAGACTTTCAAAAAGCCTCTGATGGGCTTTGTGGGAAAGGTGACTTCCACTCAGCGGACAGGAGGAGGCTGGTGGGGAGCAGAGGAAGGCCTCCACTCTCCTTTCCACAGAGAAGGAAGAAAGGGGTCCTTAGAAAAGGCAGGTCAGAGCAGTTCTGTCCCATGTTCCCAAAGAACGGTGACAAATTCACCAGTGAAGCCCAGAACAAGCCCTGCCCGGGCTCAGTAGGGGCACACAGGCAGCTGTCTGAGACATTCCCAGAAGGGACTTTGCCTAACACCACCTTGAAGATGTTATCTTCTGTAAGCGCCTCGCTGCTGAGGATTGAGCCATGATGAGGGTTTTGTGTGTGGAGTGAATGTGAGTGTGGTGACGAGTGTGGCATGGGACAGTGTCCCTGAAGGTTCCCAAGCACTGGCTTTGAGTGAGATCAACCCAAGGGACAGAACACTGGGCGCTACGGAAGCCGGGGAAGCATTGAAGGCTTTGTGTGTTGCTCTGTTGTTTTTTCTTTTTTCTTTGAGTCTCTTGGGACTGGAAATGGAGAGCTTTCTCTGTGTCTGTATATCTACATGGCTGGTGCAGGACAAGGGTGAGCAAGCCGCATGGGGCTCAACCACTTTCAGTGACATCTGGCCCGGGTGCTCCTCAGCAGCTTCTATGACCCCAAGCATGCTGGAGCTGGCCAGTGTTCTGTCCCCTAGTCTTGCTACCTACAGGGCTCTTCATAACTCCCTGATGCTCTGGGCCCAGAAGATACCAAAAATGGCCAGTGACTCAAGATGGCCTCCAAACCCTCTCCCCAGGCTCCTCGATGCTCTTAGCCCACAGGACTCACACCAACTGGTGTTTCCAGGAGATAAGGTCATCCTCCTGTGCAGGAGGAGGCAGTGGGAGAAGGAAGGAGACCGTTGAATTGCCTCTGCATTCAGCTGAGATCTCAATCCCTGGCTCTCCCCGGGCGGGTGGCTACCCTCTACAGATCACCACACATTCCACCTCAGATGCTCCCAAGCGTTTCGGCAGCCTCACCCATCTGGAATGCTCCTTCTGCTTCCATCCAGACCCTTGCAAGCCCACACAGGCTCCAGCTGTCGGGGAGCCCTCAATCAGCGCTTTCCTGCTTTGCCCCTGCCAGGCATTTCATGAGCACCTGTTCCAGAATGGCACAGTTCCTGCCTCCAGGAACTCAAGGAGAAAGACACCAGTGATGGCATCAGTGGCAGTGAGTGATGATGGCAACATGGGCCGAGCCCATCTGAAAGCACACCGACGCACACAAGCTGACCCAGACATCTCTCTTCCCACAGTGGAGAACAGGCCAGGCTCGAGGGAGGTAGTAGGTTCTAGATCCCCAGCCCAAGGGTTGCTTATGCAAGGGATGGCCTGTAGAGACATAGGAAGGATAGCTCAAGGCATGCCCCATAGCAGTCAGAGCATAAGCCTCGGGGCCTGAGTGCAAGTCCTGACTCCAAGCCCTGGGCAAGTCACTCGGCCTCCTCTAGAGAGCTTTCCATCAGCAAAGCAGGAACAATGGCTAAGATCTGTCCAACGGACAAAGTGAGCTGCAGAAACAGCACTTACCCAGCACCTGGCATATAACCAGAGGATGAAAATCATTCAACTGGCCACTAGTATGTTTTAGCCCTATAGGACCGAGCAAAAGCCTGACCCTTATTAAAGGACAACCCTGGGCACAGGAATGGAGGTCTCCTGACTCCTTAAGACTACCTTGCAACAAACTGGCCCAGATACCCCAGACTTAAGCACTGGGCTCTGCAATCGATGCCATTCCATGAGCTTGTCTTATCACCTTGCAGAACAATAACAATTCGGAGCATGATATGTTGGGCTAACCTGGTTGTCATGGTTCTTTGATTGTAACGTGAATTATTCAGATTCTAAACTTGATTGAGTGGGGAGCAGAATCATGTGCTCTTCAAGCCCTGAGAAGGTCTGCAATGCTTGAAGACGATGTGCCATGGCACGTATTGATGGGTGGTCCCTGAGATGGTCACTACACCTCAGAGGACTATTCTGCCCAGGGTCCTACACCCCTTAGTACAGACCCTGAGCCCGGGACCTAAGCGTTCAGTGGCACTCCTGGGGTAACATAGGCTCTGTAACTGCAGCATCATTAGGCTCCGTCCCACTCAGCGGGGAGCCCTGCAATGTCTTGGGGTATCACAGCAGGGTTGGCACTTTCTCTTCCTTGAACCTGACAGTGTTCCCTGGCCCTTCAGCCAGGTGTCTACCTAGTAGGGACTTGACCTTCATGCCTGTGGTTCTATATGCCAGGCACTCTAAGGGGACATTTATTTCATCAGTCTTTGAACAGGGTCCTAAAACAAGTTTGTCTGTCTTTCTCTCTGTGTATGTATCTCCCTTCAGACACATACACTGATCCATCATACACACACACACACACACACACACACACACACACACACACACACACAATATATGTGTGAATCATACGGTACACATGCACATATGTCATACCTGAGATCTGTCTGTCTGTCTCTTTTTGAGATGAGGTTTCACTAAGTAGCTCAGGTGGAACAAGGCATGGAACTTGTGACCCTATTGCCTCAGCCTCCCAAGCGATGGGATGCCAGCTCTGTGCCAACACACCCGACGCTCATGCTTGAACCCTGCTATAAGGCCTGTGGCTAAAGATGGCCGGTCAGGTTAAACTAAACTAGGAGTCTTGAGAGTTCTAAACATCCTCGCAGGCATGCGTGAAAGTCCTTCCCTCTCTCTGGTTGAGGAGCTGCTTTATGAGAAGCAGGTTGTTACTTATTATCTCAGTGCAAGCCAGGGGGCTGGCCTTCTTTCTGCAAGGCCCTCGGAGCAAAACCCCAGCAGTTACATTTCCTTGTGAGGGAACTCCGGTGGGCTGAGGGGCTGTGTGGGGGAGTGTAGCAGCTACAGGAAAGAGGTTCTGTCCCCACAGCAAGCAGATGCCTTTTCCTGGGCTTTCTCAGAGGCCTCCACAGGGATGCAGCTAGAGAGAGGCCGAGGGAGCAGAGGATCACTGAGGACCACAGTGGCAGGGCGGGATAAGGATGTGATGAAAGGCTGAGAACAGCAGCCAGGAAGGCAGAAGAAGAGACCAGCTGTAAATACAGAGGGACTAAAGAGCCAGACATCCCTCTCGCCACTCCCCCACCCCACCCCATCCCCACCCCTGCCCCGGGCCCCTACTCTCTGGCTGAACGCAACCCTGATTACCTGACTCTAAGCACCCTCATATTGCTAAAGCAGAAGCAGACATGGGGCTATGTTTCCCAAAATGTGTATGTTGAAATCTCATCCCCAATGTGACGGGATTAGGAAATGGGAACTGATTACCACCCTTGAACTGCAAGAATGGCATTCCTGCGGTTTGTAAGTTACCTGCTACATTTTGTTACAGCAGCAGGCCTGGACTAAGTAGGGCAGAGGTCTTGCCCATACTCTGGGGAGGACAACAGGATACACAGGGAGCAGCCTGAGCAATAGGAACAAAGCTGACTGCTGTGAGCAGACATCATGGGACTCTGCAGAGACTGATGTCATGTGCAGCTGTGGAAATGGGAGGCATTCCCAGACCCGGGGCCTAGCTCAGCCTCGTGTGTCAACATCTCAACAAAGGCTAAGGCTGAGGCCAGCCTTTGAGTGGGCACCGGCAGAGGCTGGGACCTCCGTGCGGCCCCCACCACACCTCTCTTTCCACTCTTCCAGGCTCAGGACACTGGCTCGCTTCCCCCACTGTACTCTGGACACCAGCTTCCCTAGAACAGTGATGGACGGCTAGAACATGGTCTGTGGGCCCCAGTGAGAGGCTGAAACCCTTGACCCTGAGCCCAGCACATTCCTCTGATTAGGAAAAGAATAGGATGGGTTAACATTTTGGGTTCCTGTAGTTTCCCTAAGGAGTTTCACATCTTTAGTTTTACAATAACCCTGCGAACTAATCAGACAGCTGTGACTTCTCAATTTCTCCTGCTTGAAAACAGAAGCCTAGGCAGGAGAAATGGCCTCCAGAACACAGAGCAGGTAATTGGAAGGCTCGCTGCAGACCTCTGCATCCACTGGCTCTGCTCCAATGATGGGCAGGCAGCAGCCTGGTACCTTCCACAGGGTCTCAAGGACGATGGTTGGCAGGGAAGGTTTGCCTTTCTCTCCCCTGGCTCTTGCAAGGTTCCCTACTGTTCTGGTGCAGAGTAAATGCAGGGATGGTGGTAAGGAAGAGCCCTTACCTGCTCTGACCTGAGTCCTGCAGGGGGGTGCCCGGGTCCCAGTCCACGGCTCCCGCTGGTCGCTCTAGGGCCCAGAGCAGAAGCAGAGATCAGGACAGGGCCACCAACTGGGCTCTCAGCTGCTCCCCGGTGAACACAGAGGAGAGATGCTCTACTCCCTGTGTGGGCTGAATGCCTATGTCCCCCCGAATCACACATTCAAATCTAATCTCCAGTAGGAGGGGTGAAGAAGTGAGGACTGGGACCCATGTTCTGGTCTGAGAAGCAGAGGCACAGGCTGTCACAAAGACTGAGCGAATCCAGAATGGGCGAAGAGGACCCCCCCCCCCCCATACATGCCCTCAGGTAATGGAAAAGTTCTAGAACGGATGTCTTTTGGAGTCTGAGCACACACCTCCAGCAGTGTTCCTGTGGTGCTCTGTCCAACCTCGCAGGGTAGTGCTCCTGCCTGCTGGCCCACCAGAGGGCACGGAGTTCAGTGGGGATGACATGGGGCACTGTCATTAGAGGGAGTGCAGGAGGCCACTCTGCAAAGAGCTATAAGGCACAGGGAAGAGTCACATAGCCTCTGTCCCCAAGCACAAAGGATGGCCTCCCACTGATCTGGAGGGCCACAGCACTTATGGCAGTTAAAGCTGCCTGTGAGGTATGAAGGACCTTATGTCCCAACTGGACAGTGATTATTTGGGTGACATTATTGAGTTCATCCATCTTTCCAGCTTCCTTACCACTTCCCATTTGCTCCAACCCAGGTCTGCAAAATGAGGCTCACCTGATGCAGCCCTGTCCCAGGACGGAGTCCAGTCCGGGCTTCCCTCCTTGGGAGGACTCTGTCTGGAAATCTTCAGCATCTCCTGCACCAGGCGGCGGTTCCTTTCCACTTGGTCAGACAGGGACAGAGCATTTGCCCCAGGGTGCAGCACCTCGAGGCCACCAGCTCTCCAGAGCGCCTCTGGCAGGTCTGCTCTGGGCACCAAGTCCTCCTTGGAGGCTAGGGCTGTGTTGTCCAGATCTCCCTCTGTGACCACACCGTCTCCAAGTGGGTATGGTCTTCTCTTCTTCAGGCTGCTCAAGTGGGTGGTTTTACAAGGACCAGGACCCTGTAGCTGGCCCACAGAAACATGGTTGTTGGGGCTCTCTTGTAAAGAGCCAGATCCTGGTGCTGGGCCTCCCTCAGAATCAGTCAGCCTCCACACTGCTTCTGGAGACCACAGGCTTTGCCCATTCCAGTTCTCAAGGCCAGGTGTAGATGACTTGGAGTTACCATTCCTGGCAGGTTTCTTCTCACTAACACTGCTGTCCAGCTGCCCATCGATCTGGTTCTGAGCACGGGGGACCACCAGGGCATCTGGTGGAGGAGAGCCCTCGGGTAGGCTCCAGATTTCTTCGAGCTTGACTTGGTGGCACTTGGATTTTGTGGGGGATGGATGCTCATAGGAAGTGGAACAGGGATTTGCCCCCTGTTTCCTGGAAGACATTTTCTCCTTCAAGGCCTTCACCTTGGACTCTAGCACAGAAGGGCCTTGGAGGTGTAACTTCCATGGACTGGGAGGCTTGGGAGCCATCAGGCTAGGCATTCGGTCTTCCTGGGGGCAGAGCGTGGGTCTTGGGAGAGGTCCGCTGTCCGGTTGCTCAGGACCATTTCTGGTCACAGCTGGAGTCACGTGCATGGGGCTGGTTGTTCTGCTCCCTGACCTGGATGCCCTGCAGGAAAAGGGAGAAGCTGAAACCTTGTACCTGGATGGCCCCAGTAACCTGCTTGGTCTCCAGAGTGCTCTGATATGGATCCCTGCTCAGATATCTCAAGACAGAGCAGTGGGGTGTCCTCTACATAACGTAGACACACACTGGAAAGGACAAGTCCAAGGACAGTTCGAACAAGTTACTACCAAGCTTAGTTCCTCCTGGCATGAGTAACATTCTTTCATGGGTGAGGAGGGAACAGGGGTGTTTACTGGAACATGGGCAACTTACCAGTGTTTACGCCACTGAAGAAAATGACACCACTCCCCCAGCAACCTCTAACTACCAATAGTCCCTCAGAGGCTCTGGGGTCTCATGTGTGCTGTGTTCCTAGCATTTCTAACGCCACTTTACAGGTGAGCAAAACAAGGTTTCAAACAATTAATCCTATGCCAAATGTGGACCACAGTGCAAAGGAGTGTGATTTCCCAACCCTGGGGTAAAGGATGATCTCAGAGAATGTCAGTGTTGGCTAATGGCCAATACGCTCTTCCTTATGAATGAAGGACCTGTGCCTCCAGAAGGTGGTGCCTGCCAGCCTCATGCCAACCACAGTGGAAAAAGCCATAGATTAGAGTCAAGGTGTTCTCAAAAGGAGATAGTCACAAACCATGCTCTATGCAAGGCAGAGACTTCAAAAATTTCAGCATTCTCTAAAATAATTCTGACATGTCTGTGCTAGAATGTTATTAGTATCCTCTTTTTTAACAGTTGGGGAAACTGAGTCATGGAGAAATTACACCCCATGGATTCCATGGGCGAGTCCAGCTTGTAACCAAAAGCTTTGCATCCCAAGCCCAGGGCTCTTTCAGAACAGTGATCGTTTACCGCACCCCCTTATTCTCAGGTAAGACTGAGTCCACAGAGGTCAGAAGACTCACCAGTGTTACACAGCCCCTTGGTGGCTGGGCTAATTCCAATGGCTTCACAGAGAAGGAAAGGAACAGCTGTTTACTCACTGTAGAAGCGACTGTGTCTTAATGGTTACTCTGTGAGGCCACTCTGGGAAATCATCCTACATCCAGATGTGTCCCATCTGAAGGAAACTCAGTGTGTAAGAACCCATGCCTAAATGGCAGATTAGGGGTTAATTACTCCCTTCACACAATAAGGAGCCACCATAAGATGTTCTTAAAGGGTTAAGGTCACTTACTACAATTCAATTTATATGCTTTTCAGGAATATATGTATTTTATAAAGCAAGATACATCTGTAACACAAAATTTCACAGCAATAAATCTGTGAAGTTTAAGGATTATCTTTAGGACGGAAGTCATTTTCTCTACCGGAGCATCTAGAGCAGCGGTTCTCAACCTGTGGGTCACGACCCTTTGGGGACTCGAAAGACCCCTTCACGGGGGTCGCCTATGACCATGGGAAAACACAGATATTTACATTTACGATTCATAACAGTAGCAAAATTACAGTTGTGAAGTAGCAACGAAAATAATTTTATGGTTGGGGGTCCCCACAACATGAAGAACTCTATTAATGGGTCGCAGCGTTAGGAAGGCTGAGAACCGGTGATCTAGAATACTCCAGGCTTCTCTTTGCAGCTCAGCTACCTCTTCTCTGAGGTCCAATCCAGAAGGCAAGATTGGGATTGTAACGTGAGCCCTTTCAGTAAAATCCAAAGAACTTCAGGACCTCGTAAAGTCTGGAGCTGCGCCCTAGACATCCGTGTCTGCAGATCTTAAAGAATGAGACCCTCCCCCAGAAGGCCTCTGGACGGTCTCCCTGGAAGACGGCTACCGAGCCCTCCTCTCCTAGCACCGATCCTCTAACTCAGGAAAACTGGAACGAAAAAGGACGTGAAGAGCGGGCCTCCTCAACTCTTCCGGCGGTGGGAGGTCGAGTCTCTGCGGCCCGGGTCCCCTCTGCGCCCCGCCACCCCGCCCGACTCCTCGGGGTACTCACTGAGAGCGGCGCGCAAGCTTCGCTGCCGCCTCCATCCCCTCCATCCCTGGGAGAGGCGAGGCTCTGCCCCCCTCTCCCCGTCCCGGGCCGCTGCAGAGTCCCGGGCAGGACTCGCCCTAAAGCCGGGCGGACGGGCGGGAGTGTGGCCCGCAGGCCTCGCCCCTGGGATGGCGTCCGGCCCCGGGGCCCGCGAGGCCGCACCCCAGGCCCCGCAGGGCGCGAGGAACCGCCTCGATCGCTAGTTCATGGCTCTGCTGGAAGGTGAAAGGCCCGGGGCCCGCTCGGGAAGAGAGGGCGAGGAAGGCGAGAGGAGGGGCAGCGGAAGGGGCTGGAGGATCGCGACCTCGGCCTGTCCCCACCCCCAGCCTCCCGCGTCCTCCTGGGGTCGGGGCTGATCCACGGGGAGCACGCTGGGAGCCCCGAGCAGCCGCGGCTCCGCTCCCCTCCCGGTGTCAGGGCCTCCCAGACGGCGGGGGATGCGCCCTGAGTTTGGGGCGCACCGGCTGCCACCGGGCCGTGTCCCGGACGCCGAGCAAACCCCTCCCCGGGGACGCGGGCGCGAAGGCGGAGGGGAGCAGAGGTGACTGTGGGGGCGCAGCTGGAGCGCCATGCTTCAGCTGACGACACCCGGCTCCGCTGGAGGAGGAGGAGGAGGCTGAGGAACGTTTCGGGACGAGTCGGTGGACTTCCCTGCAGGGCGGACCCCATTGCCCTTGGGCACCCTCCTAGGTCAAGGTCATTGGTCCCCGCTCGGTAGAGGCGCCAGGGCAAGCTGGAGTGGACCGCTCGTCCTGTCCCCCAAAGTGGGGTCTGCATGGCCAGCCGCATCGGGAAGGGACCAGGGCGCTGAGGACTCCCGAACAGACCTGGGTTCAGGCCTCGGCTGAAGGAGCGACAGAGGGCTGGCAACTGTGCCCCAGATCGATGGAGCTTTCTCTATGGAACAAGAGGGAGGTGACCAAGTTTCTCCAATGTCCAAACCCATTTTTTTTGGAAGAGAAAAAAAAAAAAAAAAAAGAATAGCAAGAGGAACCAGGACATTTCAAAAACCTCTGCAAAGAGAAAGTGCTCATTCATCTTCCTTTTGCCAACGAGTTTTACCTCAAGCTAGAGTACACAGTCTTTTGTGTGGGTCAGCTGCTAGATGGCAGGTGTAGCTACAGGGAAGGGCGGCACAAAGCTAAGGGTCTGAGGAGGACACTAAGGGAAACAACAGTTCCGCCCCCTTGTACTGGTGTGGGCCTGTAATCCCAGAGATTGAAGCAGGAGGATCCTGCCAGTTCAAGGCCAACCTAGTCAATTTAGTGAGACCCTTTCTCGAAATGAAAAGTGAAGAAATGGGCTGAGGATGGTGTGTGTGTGTGTGTGTGTGTGTGTGTGTGTGTGTGTGTGTGTGTGTGTGTAGAGAATTTGCCTAGTGTGCAAGAGGCCCTGGGTTTAATCTGAGTACTACAGAAGCATAAGGATGTTTACCTCTCCTGAAGTGAGCTGAATGTGGGGGGGAGACCCTGGGCAGGTAATCCAGCCCAGATCTGAGCAGACTGTCAGAAACTGAAGGTAGGACCAATTTAGGAACCGGAGATGTTATCCAGGGCAAACCCCGTGTAAGTGAGCAAGTCCAAGTCACGGAGCTCTGGTGAGCAGAGTCGGAGGCGCCTTCCTGCCGTGTTCCCAGAATACGTAGTTCCTTAAATGAGGCACTTTCTGCTCTGGTTTAGTGCTGATCACGCCACGATACGGTGACATCTCATCCTGGAGGGTCTGTCTACCTGCACAGACATTGTTCTAAGCACTGCGCTGTCGTCATACCGCAACCTCAGGAGTCCAGCCCACTGTCCCTTTGTACAAATGTGGTGAACAGTCAGGACGAAGCATGGAAGTGCAGGTCTCCAAGGACTCAAGGACCTCGATCGACACACTGTTCAGTGTGGTCGTTAGCATCTGCAGCATAACATGAAATATTTAGTCTTTCAAAAGCCAAATTGGCCGGGCGGTGGTGGTGGCACATGCCTTTAATCTCAGCACTTGGGAGGCAGAGCCAGGTGGATCTCTGTGAGTTCGAGGCCAGCCTGGGCTACCAAGTGAGTTCCAGGAAAGGTGCAAAGGTTTTTGAAAGGTGTAAGTTTTTTTCTCAAAAAAAAATTGAAGATGGGCCGTGGTGGCACATGGCTTTAATCCCTCGGGAGGCAGATGCAGGTGGATCTCTCTGAGTTCAAGGTCAGCCTGGTCTACAGAGCACGTTCCAGGACAGCCAAGGCTACACAGAGAAACTTTGTCCAAAACAACAACAACAACAACAAAACCCCTCAAATCTAGGAGTTAGAAAGATGCCTCAGCTGTTAAGAGCACTTACTGTTGCTCTTGTAGAGGACTGGAGTCGGGTTTTGTATGTGTGTGTGTGTGTGTGTGTGTGTGTGTGTGTGTGTGTGTGTGTGTGTGTGTTGGGGGCAGTTAGCTGGGCTTGTTACTCCAGCTTTAGGGAATCTAATACCCTCTTCTGACTTCCAAGGGCACCTCCACATACATGGCATATATACACACACAAATAAAAGTTAAAATTAAAAAAAAAAAATCAGGTGGTAGCGCATGCCTTTAATCCTAGCACTCGGGAGGCAGAGGCAGGTGGATCTCTGTTGCATTCCAGGCAGCCTGGTTTACATGATGAGTTCCAGACCAGTCAGTGCTACACAGTGAGACCCTATTAAAAAATAAATAAACCAAACACTTCAAATCAGGTTGGGATGTAGCTCAGTTGGTAGATATTCCCCTAGCAAACGTGAAGCCCTGGGTTTGGCTTTGGTGCCTAGCACCACATAAACTGGGTGTGGTAGTACACACTTGTAATCCTAGCACTTAAGAAAGAGGCAGGAAGATCACAAGTTCAAGATCGTCCTCAGTTACACAGGAAAATTCACGGCCAGCCTTGCATACATCAGACCCTGTCTCTAAACACCAAACAACAAAATCCTCTAATCAGGGCCAGGGAGATGGCTCAGTGGTTAAGAGCACTGACTGCTCTTCCAGAGGTCCTGAGTTCAATTCTCAACACCCACATGACAGCTTACATCTGTCTGTAACTCCAGTTCCAGGGGATCTGACACCCTCTTCTGGACTCTGAGGGCACCAAGCATGAAGTAGTGTACAGACACACATGCAGGTAAAGCACCTGTGTTAGTCAGGGACATAGGTGGATGGATAGATAGATAGATAGATAGATAGATAGATAGATAGATAGATAGATAGATACATACATACATACATACATACATACATAGGGGAATTCATTGGAATGACTTATAGGCTACAGTCCAGCTAATCCAGTAATGGCTAGCTGTGAATGGAAAGTCCAAGAATCCAGTAGTTGCTCAGTCCCACTGGGCTGGGTGTCTCAGCTGGTCTTCTGTATATGCTGGAATCCTGAAGAAGCAATCCCCAGTGCCAGGGAGGGAATGGATGTGCTGACAAGGCGAGGGCGAGCAGGCAAAGAATGAACAACCCCTTTCTTCCACCATTGTCCTTATATAGGATTCCAGCAGAAGGTGTGGCCCAGATTAAAGGTGTGCCTTCCCCAATGCCTGGATCAAAAGACTGTGTCATCCAGCCTCAAGATCCGGGTCACAGGTGTGCCCTCCATTTCTGGATTGTAGTTCATACCAGATGTAGTCAAATTGACAACCAGGAATAGCCATCACAGCACCCATACACATAAAATTGAATAATGATGATGATGATAATAATAATAATAATAATAACCTGTGGGGGTGGATTTTTTCAATACCCAAAGTGTTCTGTCAAGGTGTGGGTGGCCCTGCCCCTCTGGATTCTACCTGCCGTACCTTATTCCTGCAGTAAACCGTGAAAACAGGTTAGCCCCTTCATGTCTTCCACAGGCAGCATCATAAAACAGTTGCTGCTTGCTCTTGGGACCTACAAAACTAAAGTACTTCATAGGCACTCTTAAATCTTTACAAATCGGGAATGGTGGAGTGCGCCTCCACTTTGGTAATGGGAAGATCTGGGCTACAGAGACAGTGACTAGTTCTGGACCACACAGCTAGCGTAGCTAGAGTGTAAACCCAGTCCTATCTGGCTCCAAGGTAGTCTGCCTTGCTTCTTCTCTGAACTCAGACTCCCACAGGTAATTCCCCAGGGTTCCTGGTCCCTTCCTCCCTGGGAAGTTAATGATCTGTAAGGCAGATTTCTGAAAGTTTCAGTGAAGGTTTAATGTTTAAAGGATCCTGACTTTCCTCCAGCTCTCTAAGATGCGAACGGTCACCTTCGGTTTGGTTTACTCATTAATTTGTTTGGAGAAGAGGACAAGCCTCTACCCTAAAGATCCCAAAGAGCAAGTCGGGAGGTGGTGGTGCACGCCTTTAATCCCAGCACTCAGGAGGCAGAGACGGGCAGATCTCTGTGAGTTCGAGGCCAACCTGCGCTACAGAACTAGTTCCAGGACAGCTCCAGGACACAGAGAAACCCTGTCTCGAAAAACAAGACAAAACAACAACAACAAAAAATCCAAAGAGCAAATTCTTAAAATGCTATGTTAAATCATCTTGGCATATGGGTGTGGCATGCTACAACCCCAACACTCAGGAACCTGAAGCAGGGGGATTGCCACAAACTTGAGTCTAGCCTGGGCTATATGTAGCAAGCACCAGACCTGCTGGGTCTACATAGCAAGACTTGTCTCAAAAAACCAAACCAGGCACCTTTCTCTTCAGCCAGATTCTGCTTGTTTTCACAGATATCTGTTGAACTCCTGTGGTGTATGCATCAGGGACTGCAGAACAAAATTAAGTGTCGTAGATTATGACCTTGAGGAGTTTCCAGCAACATGGAAGCAGGCAGGGACAGGCGTGTACATTTTCGTGTTGGAGTTTCAGGTCAGTCTAGCACAGGGTAGTGTGGACTGCTTGCAGGAACAGCTGATTGAGGGGAAGGTGTTGTGTGGGAAGTGGCGTCCCTGAGAACTGGGACTCAGAATGAGCAGAGGGTGGCTAGCGGTAGGAAATGCATTTGAGAAAGAAGAGCACATACACAGCGTAGACGGTGTGGAAGTGCCTTGTGAAACAAACAATCCCTCGTCCATTTGAGCAGCTAGAGGAGCAACTCTCCAAGAAGCCTTGGGGTCACCTTGGATGAAGCCCAGGCAGGCCTCCCCCTCCTCCCCAGCTTCTCCACTGTGCTCCTAACCCAATAGGGCTGAGGAGCCTGGGGTGTGAATCGGGCTTCACTTAGGTCAAAAAAATGAGAAAGATTGTCCTTCCAGCTCACAAGGCTAGAGTCCAGTCAAGCAGAAATAAGGTGGTGGGGGTGGAGGTGGGGTGGGGGAGACACCTCTGTCCAGACTAAGGGAGCTTGCCCAGCTGGAAACCTGTCTTTCCCCAGCTCTCCTGTCTTGTCCTTGGGTAGACACATGATGAAGGAGGGAGGCAGCTGGCCCCAGCAGCAGGGCTTATAGGCAGGACATCCGAACATCTCTTCGGCAGGAGCCAGAGACGGTGAGACTGGGCTGCTCTGTGTCCTTCCAGTATCTGGGGTTCTAGGGACGAGACTGACCGGGGCACCTGTGGACTCGCTGGTCACTGGCAAAAGATTGCTTCCATGGTGTCCCCCAAGGGCACTGATTCTTTGGGATGGAGAGGACCCAGGAATCTGTGTCCTGATGAGCTTGCCAGGCAGTCTGAAGCACACAGGTCCCTCCAGCCTCAACTCTCACGAGCCTTGGCGGCTGTCCTCACATCCCACAGTGCTGAGCTGCTTTTGTTTCCCCAACTGTGGAGGCTGGTTCTGTCTCCTTGCTCTCTGCCCAAGCTTCCGTCCAGTGACCCAAGGACCCTGCCGCTGAGGAGGACCCCTCCATTCATGCATTTCAATCCCTATTATGACTGTGTTGGGGGATGAGGTTCTTGGGAGGTCATAAGGTTGGACCCCCAAGGTGGGATGAGGGACTTTAAGGAAGATGCTGGTGAGCTTGCTGTCTCTCTGCCGACCCCTTCCCTTTCAACTGAGAGCAGACTAACCCAGGAGCAGGGTCCTCACCAGACCCCGGCCCCGCTGCCTCACTACTCACAGACGACGTCAGGACCGTGAGAAAGAAGTGTCTGTTCTTCAAGCTGCCCAAGCCACCTTACCTCTTTTTTGTCTTTTTGAGAGAGGGGCTCTTGTAGCCCAGGTTGGCCTTTAACTCATACATATATTAAAGTTGACCTTGAACTCCTAACCCCCCTGCCGCTACCTCACTAGTGCTCCGCCACACTCATCGGAAGCATCCTTGTCCTAACATCCTGCCCAGTCCTTTCGAAACACTGACCACACGTTTTTCCCCTTAGAAAACTCCCTCTAGCAGCGTGGCATCTGATCCTCACTTGTCTCTGGTTTTGTGTCAACACACAAAAGGTATCGACGGCTAAGGGAAACAGAGAGAAAAATCCCTGCTAGACAAGGCTGCCTAAGGACTGCTGCTTGCCAAGTAGACTTAGGTTACTTTCAAGGGCTTTGAGCATCCACTCAAAACAGCCAATGCTGCCCTAGCCTCATTGAGAAAGGTGTTTAGGGGCAAGGCCAGGTTCAGCGTTCAGGCACGTGACCTTATGCTCGCCTAGGTCTTCGCACACTGCCCACCTTCCCCAAAAGGCCACCGATCATAGACAGCGGTGTTGTCCTTACACTCCAATTCTGAGATGGCCTGGCTGGTAATTCGGAGGTAAGGCATCTATTAGATCCGGTAACGGAGAGGGAAGAGAGGCAATGACGGCAGAGACATACAAAGACAAGCCGGAAGAGAACACTGGGAGGGGTGTGCAGTCAGCAGTGTGGCCCCTGGGGACCTCCAGACAGCAGCCACCATACTTTCTTCTATACCTCCCTGCACACACACACACACACACACACACACACACACACACACACACACACACGTGCGCCAGCTCTCCCACAGTGGCTGCAGCTAAAATCCAAGGAGAGCAGGAATGTAGTTCTTACCTGCTCCCCAAGACTGGCAGGTGAGGAGCTCACTGGGACAGGAACCTTCAAACACAGGGACTTCAACTCCGGACCTCACTGGCTTGGCGGCTTCTCACCCTGACTGAACGCAGGCTGACTCTACCAGGCAGCTGCTTTGGAGCTGGACTCCCACTGCGGCTTTTTGTTTCATAATCCTAATCACAGGGAAATGACTGAGATTAGGAAAGCATTTGAATGCTCTGCCCCACCTGCTCAGCACGAGGCTGTCATTAGTATAAGAATCTTTGACCCTTCGCCAATAGTCACTGTCACCTTGGCCTACTCGGTGTTCTCAGCTGTGGGCAACGGACGCACAGGGTCGAAAAACCTGGGAGGGTGACGGAGGGTGGAAGCGGTGACTGTGATACCTTTGACCTTGAGAACAGACAGAAAGCGCTCTCTGCTGCTCTATTGCTAATTGGCCTAATACAGAGCAGACTATGAAAAGCTGTATTGGCATCATCCTCACACCAGCAG